GGCCATGCCACATGTGCGCAAGTTTACGCGCGTAGCCTTCCTTGACTCGGTCGAGATACAGCCACACCTGCATTCCAGCCTCGATCTCGTGTGGGCGCACCGATTCGTTGTGCTGGTCAGCTCGATCTCGGATTGCCTCGCGTAGGCGTTCATTGACTTGCTGCCGGGCCTGCTGATATTGCTTCTGGACATGATAGCGCCACCTGCGAGGCTGTCGATCCCGCCGGCGCGTCGATCCCAGCGGTATCATTGCCTCCAGAGTAGATCGAGGGTCCCACCCATGTATCAGGTAGAAGGGTGTGTCTCCACGAATCCGATCTTGGGCCGTGTTGAGCGCAAAAGTAAGGCGCTCCGCGTACTCGTCCCAATCTCGCTGGTTGATGTCTTCGACATACATCTTCAGAGCGCGAGTGAGCGTCTGCACCATCCTCTCAGCAGTACCGTAGGCCTGAGGCCGGTACGCCATAGTTGCACGTTGCCTCTGACCGACGATCTTGTTGAATGATATTAAGAAATCCGACATAAATCCTGGCTCGCGGTCATGTCGTATCGCTTCGCTAGCGCCAAATCGGCGAAACACGCACTCCTCGTAGTTCTCAGCGATCGTTTGGGCTGTTCTAGACGAACTGGCCTTTGCAATCACGAATCCCGTGAAAAGATCGATCCAGATCAACAACTCCTTTGTACGACTTGGGTAATGACGGGATGGGGTCCATGGCAATGATCTGGAACGGGTAGGTAGCCTGAAGATTACCGGGAGATTCTCCTTGTGTAGTTGGCCTCCCTTTCCCGGTCTCGTAGTCCACGCACAGCCCCACGTATCGTTGTACACTTTGGTAGAGGCCTCTCCAGTGAAAATGGGCACGAATCCGCTGGTAGGTTCTTCCAATGCCTTTGTGGCCACCCTCGAGACTGGCATGATAATGGTGTAGGAAGTCCTGCTGCAAGGTCTCCAGGATCACCAGCCGCATCACAAGATCACGACCTTCATCAGAGCGCTTCGATGGCGGGCAGTAGAACAGCAATCCAGCTTCGTCAACCTCGTAGTCATCGGCAATCTTGGCACACGCTTTAGCCTCCGCCGAGGTAAGGTCCTGCACGTCCCCAAGTAGATACTTCTTGAGATCGGCAATCCACTTCTCTTCATCCTGGGCCTGGCAGATGCGCTCCGTCCGCATTCGTTGTACCATCAACCCATCCAACACTTGTGGGGCTGCTCGTCTCCTCGATCTCGTAACCGCCGCGATCTTGATCACCGCCGCGTCAGATCGAGGAACCAATAATTCGTCGAGCCGGTTGAGCGTCCCCAGATCTTCGCGTTCTCCGTCTGTTGTAACGACTGATCCACCTTCCCGTTGTAGTGCTGCGCTTGCAAGTCGATCTGCACTCTGGTTCCAGTCACGCTTCATGTGAAGAAATCCGTGGTTGGGCCAAGATCGCAATCGTTCCATGGCCTTCTGACGTAGTAGTACCAAACTCGGAGCCTTGCACTCGATCTCTCCACGCATCTGACGGATCACCAAGTTGGAGTCGCCACAGATAATTAGGCGCCGCCCCCTGTCCAGGTTGGCTAGAAGATCGAAACAGAGGAGCAATCCATGGTACTCCGCCTCATTCACCGTTAGATCGATCTTGTACTCAGATGCGGCGGAGATTACCTTCCGGTCGGGCAAGCCCCACACAATCGCGCTGTAAGCGCCCCCACTTCGCCTTACACGAGCCGACCCATCAAAGCTAACCACCAACAGTTCTTCATCAATCTCCACTGTAGGAGGCGGCATCGTGACAGCTTGTCGCGGTCGTATCCGAGGAGAGATCGACGTTAGGGTTGAATCGACATCTTCTCGGGGCGTGATACTTGCGGCTATTACTCCCAATATCTCATCTTCTTTCGTGCATTTCACGATTTCCAATGTCCACGACGACAGTAGCGCCGCCCACCGGCCAAGGCGTCCCTGCAAACCGGAAGAATGCACCAGCCACGCCAATGTTGAGTATCGGGTCAGGACCTTGATCGATCTGGTAACCAGTTGCGTGTAGCAGACATCCAACATCCGGAGCAGTACCAACACCTCCTTATCCACCATTCCATAGTTGATCTCGTTCGGCTTGAGCGTGCGGCTGGTAAAGGTGACTGGCCTGTACACCCCATCGTGCTCCTGCATCAACGCCGCAGAGATCGCCCACTTGCTGGCGTACACTACGACCACTGGTTCCCGGTCTGGGTCAAAGTGCTGGAGGATCGGCGCCTTCACGATCTTGTCCTTCAACACCGTAAATGCCGTGATGGCTCGACCCCACTTGTCACTGTCAGCTTGGCGTTCACCAGCTTCGACTTCATCTGCGCCGACCTCGATCTTGGATGTCCGAGTGATCTCGTAGAAGTCGGCCTCACGAAGTTCGTACAGCACTGAAGCGTAGATCGCGGAGTCCTCGATGAACCTGCTGTAGTAGTTGAGACCGCCTAAGAATGACTGCATCGATCTCAGGGTGGTCGGAAACGGCAGATTGGCCAATGCTGATAGATCCTTCGGGTGAGCTTCCAGTCCTTCCGCAGATACTCGATGTCCCAAGTAGTCGACTTTCTTCAATCCCCAAAAGCTCTTGGCCACGCTGATCGACAAGTTCCATTCCTCGCAGACATCTAGCAGCTTCTCCACCTTCTCACACATCGGATCCCACGAACCGGCCGTGACCAAGATGTCATCGATATAAGATCGACGGCCCAGGACAGATGTCTTATGCTCTACGTTTGGTTCTCCGTCCTTGAACAGATCGATCTGTCCCTGTCGATCTTGGTTGTCCGTGGTCTTGAGGAAGCCGTAGAGTGCGTTGTCGATCAGCCGCTGATAGATCTGTGGCGCGTTCTTCAGTCCAAATGGCATTCGGTTCCACTCGTAGAGTCCCCATGGAGTGATGAACGCGGAGATCGCACGAGCTGGATCTGTCATCGTTACCACCCAGAAACCGCTAGCCATGTCCAGCGAGCAATACCAGAGCACCTTGTCGAGATCCTCGAGGAGATCGTTGATCAGCGGCATCGGGTAGACCATTAAACGTGTCAGACTGTTGACCAGACGGTAGTCAATACAGAGTCTGATGTCGACCCCGTTCTTCTTGACGATCACCATGATCGGTGATGCCCAAGGGGACGTTGAGATCTTGATCATCTTGGCCGACAGGAGCCCCTTGATTAGCTGCTCCAGCTTCTCGCGGTACTGCGACGCCACTTTACGGCAACGCTGAGCGACTGGCCTCGCGTTTCCGACGTCAATGTCGCAGATCGCACCTTTTGCGGCCGGTGGTAAGGCATTGCCCTTTCCAATAAGCAAGGGCTTCCGGCGCCAGATGATCTTCCGCAGCCGGTCGATTTCCTCCAGCGTGTTTTCGCCAGGATCACCAACTTGGATATCCGTGATCACGACTTCGTCAGTCGCGGTGAACTCCGGGAGCACTGCCATTTGACCTTCGACATCTTCCGCGTAGAGATCACCGCCTTCCGTGATGCAGACTTCAGGATCTTCCGGGTCAACTGCATTTGGACGTGGATCAGCTTCAAGATCACTTCCCGACGCGTGTTTACGCGTCTCGTGACTGACGCTGGGGCTCGCTGGATTTTCGTCCGTTTCGACCCGTCGATCTCGATTAGACGCCTGATTTACGCCTGTCGCACCACCGTAATCATGATGAGACGCCTGATTTCCACCCTTCGCAACCACTCGATCTTGATTAGATGCACCATGTCGCACCGGCTGGGGCCGATCGCAGCCTTGATCTTCCAAACAATCCGTGTCGCAGGCTGTATTTCCAGCGTCGTAATCACCCGATGGTCTCTCCGCCCCCTGCGAAGTGGCGAAATCATGGCGCGTTTCTCCCGTGCCGAATTCGTCGCTGTTCTTGGGCTGCTCGTCCCTGCCGGGCGTCGAGTAAGACGCGGTGGGGTTGCCGTACGACTCTTCCGGGTTGGAATCGTCGGGGCGCTTGGACGCCACGCACTCGGTGTGCACAGTGGCCATCTCTGCTCTCTTCGCTGGCCGGGTCAAGATCGCCGTCGGCGTTGTGTACTGCGGCCGCTCCACAGCAGACCCCTGCACGTCGGCGGGCTCAGGCACGTCCTTGGTAGCGTCGGCGGTTGCTTGGTACGCCAAGTTCTGCCACTCCGCGTACCTGCGAGATCCAAAGGAGACATGCCCAGGTAAGCGCGGCACTCGATCTCCGGCCAGCCACATCGCGAGTCGCGTACCCTGATGCAGCACTAACTCGCGATCGCTCACGTTTGTCAGTTGCAGGTAGCGGATCTTGCCCGGTCCACCAGTCACGGTAGGCACCCACCGATCGCCGCGCGTAACCCAGAGTTTCTGATGCTCTGTTGATCTTGTGCGCAGCTTGACCTCAACGGATCCCGCTATGTCGATCTCGCGGTAACCAGTCAAGGTCACCTGCTCCACCTTGTCTCCGTAGAGCGGACGTCTCCCAGCGAGCTGGATCCGCACTTCGTCTGACAGGCAGATTGTCGTCGGCAAGATCGAGGCGGATACCCGCCGGTACCATGAAGTCCATGCCGATGATTAAGTCCTGACCGCCGGTCGGCGGACCCACCCAAACATCGAAAAAATACACAAGTGATCCAGCGAGCGTGATCTTGACCCGTGCACGTCCTTCCGCCATGTATGGAGATTTTGCGACGCCTTCGCACTCCAATGTCTGACTTTCGTCAATGTAGCACCCCACCTTACGAGCAAAGGCGGTGTCTAGGATAGACACTTCGGCACCACTGTCAAACAACAGAGTAGCTTTTTCGTTGTTGATCTTGCCCACAGCTTTCGCTTGCTTGAACTTCTTGTCAGGCACATGGTATTTCCAGTAACCACGCGACTCCCCCAACGCGATATCCATAGCCATCTTCACGCTCGATCTTGAGTAGTCATCAACTTGGTGAAGACTTGACATAGCAGCCGTAGTTTTCTTTTGAAGATCACATGCATTGTCGATGAGTTTGCTTACAGTCGACTACGACTGCTTCTCGACATACGCAAAGATGCAGAACTGAGAACGCTCGTCTCGTACCGGATTCCAACCCGGCGAGCGTCCTCGTTTAACATCTTCTCCGCGGACTCGGGCAACATGCCCCCGTGCTTGGTGGGATTGTACCACTGACGGATCAAATTGTAAAATTCCTCCATCGGACAGCTTCCTTCGTCGTGGATTTTGCCGCAGGCCTTGTAGACAAAGAGACAGCGATCTGACGGGTGACCATGCTTGCCACATTTTTCACACGTCAGCCGCTTCCAGCATCTCAGATCGTCGTGTTTGGTAGACCCGCAATGAGTGCACCGCTTGAGGGGCGGCCCCATGTCGATCGATTTAGAGAGATGTCCCGGTCGACGATCTTGACGGCCTCGATCTTGATCCGGTGGACGCCGATCTCGGCCGGCCGAGCGATGTTCAGTCGTTCCATGATCGATACTGGCTGAAGTCGCATACACTCGGCGCAGATTTCCCTCTTCATCCGAGTCGCTGGATCCTGCATCCAAGTCACTGCTGTCGCTCTGCACCTGAATCGCTCGTACCGCGCGAGCACCGGCGGCGGCTTGCGGCTTCGGGCGGGGCTTAATCGAGCCGTACACCGTCTTGCTCTGTCGCGCTTTGGCACGCTGGCGAGATCGCAAAACTTCTTCCAGAGTGTCCGCGTCGGGAATCCGAAGCAGGGCAAGCTGGTCCGCTAGATCGCGGTAATCCAAAGTCTCGATAAAGTGTTCCACATGTTCCTGGCGCACGTCCGGCGGTCCGTCCTTGACTAGTAGACGTGTCCGCAGGCCTGCGACGTTGAGCCTGTGGAGGTACTCCAGAGGCGACTCGTCAGATCGTTTCCGAGCATGGTAGTACTGGCGGGCAACCGAGACACCACGCCCACAATACTGGACCTGGAAACTCTGGAGCAGGTCTTTCCACGTGGTACGAGTTGTTCGGCTCAGCTGCCTATACCAGTTTCGCCCTGGATCAGTGAGCAAATCACCGAACGCCAGACACTTCTCATCATCAGGCGCTTGATCGCGGACGAAAGCCGATCTTACCTTGCTGACCCAAGATCGAGCTCGATCTTCGTCGCCGTCCTTTCCGGAAAACTCCTTCAGTTCCGACATTGCACACACACGAATGCGTGGTGCGGCCCCAATTCCTCCAGTCGCAGCAGTAGCCGTTGTTGCTACCGCCGCGCGGATAGGCCAACTGAGATCGAGGTCGTCAGGATCAAACTCCCCTGACGCAGAGTGTCGGTTTGGTGATCCAACCGACTCCATCTCCACATCTTGATCTTCGGGTCGGTCGCGACTTCAGCGCGACACCAAGTAGCTGCTGATCCTTCAGAAAACGTTCCATGGCCGCTTGGAAGAACGACTCGAGTCTTTCCGGGGAGTGTCGCACTGAAGTTGCTACGCCCTTCGGCTCTCGCGTTGGCACAACCACCTCACGCTCAGCACGTTCAGCTCGACTTCTTAACATAGCGGCACCGGAAGGGCCTAGGGTCATGCGCGGTGGCGGGTCATCGACACTGTCAGATTCCACGTCTTCCGTTGCAGACACGTACGGAGATGACGTCGGAGTTTGGCCACCCGGGTTGGGCGCAGGCGTCGATCTGGCGGGTGTCGATCTCGATAGCGTCTGGGGCGATCTTGATGTTTCTTTCAAGGATCGACTCGACTCACCGACCAACGGCTTCAGTAGCAGGAACAGCCTCTGGGCCGAGTTCTGGATCGTGCTGAGCTTCAGATCGAACAGGCTTTCCGCATCCAGCACTCCTGCGATGATACCAACTTCCTTGAAGAGCCGTAGCAGCGTCTGAACGGCATCCAACTTGTCCGATCCAGGGGTCGGCTGTGACACCGGTCCCGCAAGATCGCCGAGGAGCTTGGCCGGAGGAGCTTCATCACATCGTCCTGAAGCAGGAAAGCGTGCAACTCCTTCTTGTAGTACGTTACAGCGAGTTGATCCTCAGCCACGGTTAGTGTGAGATCGGCTCGATCGTCAGCATCGGAGTCTGGAGCCTTCATCTTCTTCCGCGACGACTTCGATCTTGCTGGCTTCTTCTTGGTCGATCTAGCGCTGGGTGGTTGGGTTCCGGCTTGCGCCGGTGGACTTTCGTCCGGCAGGCCACGATTCGCATCGTGCCCTGCGGGGGTCCCCGAGGGGATCTGGGGAGGAGGTTGAGGCTTTTCTTCTAGGTCCGTTGCCGGGCCTTCCTCTGTTCCGTCGGTAGAGCTCCTCCCTAGGCTCTGCCGATCCGCGGATCGATCATGTTTCAGCGGCGTCGACGCCGATCCGATCTCTGTAGACGCTTCATTCCCTTGTCCAAACTCGGCTTGCGCATACTCTTGGAGGGACTCACGGTGAAAGCCCGAGTCACTCAAAGATCCGGGCACGCGCACCATTGTGGCGAAGTGGATCCGCGAAATTTGCAGATCGCGGGGGTCCTCTTGCACACGGCGCCCGAACTGCCGACTAACGGAGGGGGTACTCCGATCTTCCGTGAAGTTGCTGATCCTCACCTTGTGTACCCGTCGGTGGGCTGGATCGCTCTTCGGGTGATCTCGAGAAGACGCGCTTGGGGTTGAGTCTTGGGCTGTCTGGTGGACAGCGGGAACTTGTGGCAGCAACGCGGATATGCTTCACGCTGTGCCGGAGTAGTTGTGGCGGTTTCGATCTGGGGTTGTCTAGATCGACACTCGCCGGCCAGGTGTGATCTTGGCCTGGGGTTGCCTTGTGGTCGGTGTGTGACCTTCCTTTCCTTTCCTTGCTTGCCGCTTCCTCTAGCGGTGGGTCGAAGTGAGGGTTGACGGACGCTGGGCCAAGCTATCCTGGCGTCCGAGGTTCCTTGATCTTGGGGTGTAAGTCGACTGGCGTAGCGTCGGGTGAGCCAAAGTATATCCCGTGCCCGGTATTGCGAAGGCGATGACCACTTGTGAAGAAGGAGGTAAAATCAACTCTGTTTAAAATGTTAGCTTGTCCTAAGCCCTTGTTCTATCGTTCTCCTGCACTCCTGCGCTCGTGCGGTCTGTGCGCGTGCTCTCTAGCTCCCTTGAACGTTGGTGGTGTCGCTGGCTCTCTGCCCGGTGTCTGCGCAATCCGTGCGGTCGAGATCATCACTCTTTCTCCAAGATCGCGTCATCCCCGCCAAGATCGATATCGTCGACTTGGATCGATTACGCCGGCGTTTGGCTCTCAAGCACCTCCAGAGATGTTGTTCACCTTGATGTTGCCCCCTTGACCTTCTTGCTGGTTACTATCGTGCCAGACTACGCGTCGCCACGCTTTGCCGATCTTGATCCACACTGTCGATCTTGGCCATCTTGTTGATCTTGGGTATCCGCGCGAAAATATCTCAATCCACTACACCACAGAGGCGTCTTCTGTGCCTTATAGCTCCGGGGTTTGCGCTCATCTCCCGAAGCATCTTCATCGTCGTCGGAGTGCTCTGGGGAGTCCGGGCGCTCGGTAGGGATGTGGGACCAAGGACGTTCAACACCGACGGCCCAGTTACATTCCCGGGCCCGGGCAACACCCTTCTCGAAGTACTCTTCCGGGACATGCCGCAACCACTCCACCTCGTCCAGGATCTGGAGGCAGAGTACCCGACGCAGGATCTCGACGAGAACTGGCTCCCGGAGGTAAGTGTGAATCACCAGCTCCTTCTCCAGTTCGTTCATGATGGCGTCTTCGGCGTCCTGGAGGCTGTATTATCCCCATCCATCCGCAAGTACTCCAAGACACCCGGGCGGACGTCATCAAATCTGGCGTTTACGGGCAGTAGCTTGAGCAGTGCCTCATCGGAGCGAGGAGGCCGAGCGTCGGCATCAATCGGGTAGTACCAGGAACTGTGGGGATAGGTCTGGGGCTCGTAATACCGGGGCCGGAGCAGGCGCAATCCATCCGGAGTTGTCCGGGGAGGAGGGGACTTTGCTCGACTTCCTCGACTTCTTCTTCTTCCTCCTCTTCGGCTTCTTCTTGGATCGGCTACCGGCGCTTACGGGGGTGGAGGTCGTCGCTGCCATCACCACCGTCATCTTTGTCCCCGGAACCCCCGGAATTGCCCTCCATGTCAAAGACGAGCGAAGAGCCCTCGGGGGGCTGGTCGGGCCCCTGGGCCCGGGACAAGGGGCGATCCTTCCCCTGGACCGAGGAAGGGACCTGCGGCACAGCGGAGGACTCCGAGATCGACGGCACCGGGACGACTCTACTTGAACCAGTATATGACCCCGAAAGATCAAGACAAAGGATGCGCTTAGCACCAGACGGAGCCTGAGCCTGCGCAGGCGCGCCGGAACCTGAGGCGCTTGTGGACGATGGGACTCGGGGAGGCGCCGGAGTGTTTGAGTGCGAAGTGGCTGCGGTCGACCCCCCAGGGGAACCGCGCCCGCCCTGGGCACCCCCGGTACTACATCGAAGGAGAAAGCCGAAGGATCAGCTGTCGTGTCCGAACGGCACACCATCAGCTGGATAGCGTACGGCAGGTGCTCCGAGTCACAGTACGCCCGAAAGTGGTCTTGAAAGGACACGCGATCTCCCATGACGCCGGGCCCGGCTTGGGTTGCGAAGTACCGGAACAGGCGCTCCGGGTCAACCATCAGCCGCAACCGGCGAACTTCCGCTTGGAGCCGCTCATTCTCTTCTTCCAGACGCGCCGCCTCCCGGGCTTCGGTAGCCACTGCCTCTTCGTATTGTGCCCTAGGGACCGTATCCGAAGGGGGCTGGGGCCGCCAGCTGAGCAAGGGCCTTATCGCGCTGTGACTCGAGGCCCTGGGCCGTTTGCGCGGCTTCTGTTAGCTGTCGTTGGAGATGAGCCACCTGCGCTTCAGCCTCGGTATGAGCTCTCTCAGCCTCGGCCCAGCGGGTAGTTGTGCTCTCAGGCTGCTCCTCCAACAACGAGCCGTTCCGGAGCTCTTGGGCCAGCACAGCGCGAGTACGCTCCACGAAGCCCCGGTAGTGGCAGAGCCGAGGTCCCGAAGCGAAGCCTCCCACTCTCGGTGCGCTTCGGCACGAGCAGTGTGCTGTCACGGTTCCCGCTCTCACTCCTGTCCGCGAGTTTTGTGACACAAGTCCAAGCTTCACTCAGTTTGTGGTGAATACGGCTCGAATTGGCGTCTCGGTCGAAAAAAAGTCACAAGCTCTATTGGAAAAGCGATTGTTCGTGCTGAAGCGGCTTCACAAAGTTATCCTCTTGGATCTTCGAGTGCTAGTGCAAACTTACTCGAAAGCATGCGAGGATATGGGACTGGGGAAAACGTCGAGTCCGGATACCTTTCGTGCTTTGGAGTGGTTTTTGACAGATATGACCGACGATTATGAGCAGCAGAAGACGCTCGATGAAATGGACGGGCAGCCGTCCTACTTTGACCTGGTGACTACCGGATCCCAAGACGCCTCCGAACTCGAGGATATGAAAAGGATGGCGGGACCCCGGGGTCCCACCTGGACCCCAGTTCTCTCATCACATACCGGTATCAAATTATCAGATGTATTGAAAAATGTATGTGTTAGCTAAAGGAAAAGCAAGTCTCCTTCTCTCCGTTCGCCTACTTCGTTGACGAGCTAAAGAACTGCAGGATAGATGGCTGGTTAGATTTCAGGCCGGCCTTCTTCTTTTTAGTCCGGCCAGGATTCCGCTTCGTTGGGGTTTTAGACGTAGATTTGTTAACCGCCGCGCTAGAAGGTGAAGCTGTGTTCATGATCGTCTCAGGTACATCGGGGTAGTAGTTCAGGTACTCTTAAAAGTACACGTTGTTCTGCTCATTCGTAATGTCTGCAATTACAAAATTCTGGATCATGAGGTTGCAGTTGAAGTAATCTGCTGATGGGCGACAAAGAGCATAGTACGGCATCGAAATACCACCTCCATAATCTTCTGCTTGAATTTGAACGACAGTAGACTCTCTCTGCGGTCGCATCTGCATCACCAGCCAGGTCAGTTTCGTCGTCAGCAGCAACGTCGTCGATTGTATGAGGGATAACCTGATTAGGTAAAATCTGCTGAGGCGCATGCAAAGCCGTATAATCTTTGACAAAGTTGGACACGAATCGCCGCTGAGCGATTGCTTCGTTAAGGTGAGTTCTCTTTTCCAGTAGTACAACCTCGCGCTCTTCCTCAGAAATATCGGGCTGCTGAAGCAAAATATCTAGGCGAACGCAGCAGTCACAGACATCCTCCGCTGTTCGTTTTAGACGGACACCAGGAACGTAGTACCGTTTGTACTGGATGAAGTGGGAGAAACTTAGTGTGCGGGCATCTGGGTTGATTCGGGCGATATCGTCCAGATAGCGAGCGTGTACAATCTTCCACGTCAGCTTGGGCTCAGTGAAGTACTGCCGCGGGTGTCGGTGGGCGCACGGAAACCCATCCTCCAATATCCACGTAGCACAATGCGATTGCTTTAAACGAGCCATATCGTCCTCCGTGAATGCGTGCCAGGGTGTAAGTTTTGCGCGCCTTGTGTGCAACGACTCAATTCCAACCTCTAGCACCTTCGTTAGTCTTGCTACGCGACTTCCACCGACCGGTATGATCGCTCTAATCACACGTTCCGAGAGTCTTAATTGTAGAAGCTGAAGCACGACACCTTCCGACTGCTGCCACTCTTTTCCGCCATAGCTTGTGTCCCATGAGTCCCAGTCCCGACGGATCTGCTGAACTCGCTCCTCCCCCAGGATGGCTACGGCCCGCTTGTACGCTGCTGTCTTCCGATCAGAGGCTTTTTTTTCTTTTACGTATCGGTCTGAGGCTCTGGGAGCCACCTCCGCGGCGTCATGCCATTTAATTACGAAGCTTAAGCGAAAATGGTAAGACCCTCGGTCGTTTCAACGCTGCCCTTGATAAAAATAAATAATTGCCGATACCGATTATTTTGGATGGGGGACCCCGGGGTCCCGCCAACTGTTTCATATGCTAGCTCCTATACCTGGTTTTGTGTGCTACGGAGATCGTATCAAACATGTCGTATTCGGCGGGCCCAGAGAAGCTGTGACTCTAGGCCGGAAGGTGGTTGTTGCATTGGCTGAGTCTATCGGCGTCCAGTTTTCCGAGCGCAACTCGTTGTTTTGTGCCAACGCTCTTCGGGTTGGCGACTTCGTGTTCTTGGCAGATTGGGTGGTTCGAGACACTACGTCGGGATGAAGTGTCAGAGTAAGAGGAAGCTCTGATTTAGTTTAACAAGAGTGTGCCCGTACTGGCCAAAAGTTTCAAATAAGTGCTATCACGAATGGCAACCAACATCTGCGTAGTGAAATTGCACGATTTGTTTGAAATCACGATATATGAATCGAAAACACGCAAAAATGAGCTCCACGGCACTTGATCGTCGTCACCATGCTTCACCCTCACCATTAGCTCGTACGTGCGAAACGTAGTCATCTTAGTGTAGAGGAGCGTGTTGTACAAATTCGGCAACTGCTGCATGAGAAACATCACCATGTTGTTCGAGTCAGGGAGCGCATAGTGTGGAGTCCGCTCCTCGTCGTAGCTTTCGCCAAAATGACCGCGCGGGACGTTGATTCCGTACCGAAGATTAGATGCTGGTGGATTACTCGTCTTGCAACGGCGACTGCGTCTTCTCCATTTACTGGCTCGGATTCCAGAACGCGCAGTGCAAGCTTACAGTACGTGGATCCTGCTCTGTTGCTTGCATTCATTTGTGGGAAAGTATGTAACGCTTATCTTTTTTTCATGATGCGCAGTTAACTGCCTGCCTCTTTCTGGGAATGGTCAGTGCCGGGTCATCATCGGGAACGAACGCCACTGTGGTTGTTGGCAGCGGGTCGTCGACGGATTAAGGCAGTTTCCGCTTTGAGTTTCATTTCGTTAGTACCGTCAATTCCTAACGTGTGTTGTGCAGCAAGATAGAACAGCAAGCTAAGTTACAGTCTTGGTAGGTACATGCCCCCTTCTTTTTTAAAAGGAAATGCACGGTCAACAGTTCGTAAAACATTCTAGTATTCGAAACAAATCTACACCTCTTTGATGTACTTCTGCATCGGATGGTGTGCACTCATATCAAAAAGTAACTTACGATCGAAAAGAGACAGCGAGTACGAAAACCATCAGTACATTCAACTTGTTGGGGGACTGGCCTAACATGAATGGACACGTCCGGCGGCTCGAGTGTCAGCTTTAGACGCGGTATTCTCGGGCCATGGCCAACACGAGTTCACACTGCGCGGGTTACACGGGTTGCTCTGTGAGAAGTCTTTCTTGCGCCACCACCACGCGCACAAGCTTGAGAGCTACAGTACCTACAGTAATTAGTCTGACCTGATGGGAGGGTTAGGGTATCTATGTTACACGCTATTTGACGAAAAACTATCATATTCAACGAATTCTACTTAATGAGAAACGTGTATTACAGGGGTCTGTGGTGTTGATTGGATAAAAATTGACTTCGTGCCTAGCCTTCAAAGTATGAAAATTGCACTTTTTACGCAAATTTGGATATCAGACTAATTACTGTAAGCACTGTAGCTGGCTACGCAGGTCGGAGAGCAAGCTGCCTTGACTGTTCGTCCGCTGCTTGCGAGTCTGCTGCTGGAGTGGATCGAGAACTACGTCATGGCGTTGGAGTACCCCATCGCGCAAGCTCCGCGTCGGCTGCAGCTGTCCATCGTTCCGCTACGCAGCTCCACGCTCGCGAAGTGGCTTGCAGCGCCATGCCTGACTCGAGGACAGGATCATGAGTTAGTATGGGCGCGTGGAGTGCTGGAGCTTACGTACGCGCTTCAGTTTAACCAGATTTCGTCACGCCACGATGGTGGCGGGTAGCAAGCTGAGCACTTTGGTTTCTACGTCGTCGGTGGTCTCGGGTGCGTCGATGTCGGCCGCGATGGAACCAGGCGCTGACATTTGCCTGCACTACGACCTGAGCGCTTTCCCGCTGCGGAACATCGTGACACAAGCGCTGGCACACGGAGACCAAGGCGGTGCCTTCGAGTATGTGGCACCTACGCTACTGAAGCTGATGATGGAGGAGCACCCATAGCTTTTCGATGCTGCTACAGCATCAGCTCCGTCAGGAACGACGTTGAACTTGCTCCCACTGGCAGCAAGCCCTCGCGATGAAGCGGATCGTGACCTGACCAGCAGCTGGTTCCGCAGACGTCGGAAACGCGGTGAGCTGCCGGACATCCGCGTCGTCCAGTCTCCTGCTTCCTGGACGGCAGTTCAGACATTGTTGCTGGAGCTACAGGCAGCACCAATTGAAGTTCTCATGCGCGAGTTACCGGTGTTGATCGATGGCTTCCTTCCGTACGCAGTACTATCCTCGCAAAAGTCGACAGCATCGTGTCGACAAGTGGCTGCATTCTGCGCGCAACTAGCCTCGCTCAATGAGACTCGCGCGCGTCGCGAGCAAGGAGCGAGTATATCGCTATTAATGCGGTTGGTTCACGCGCTCTGTTTCCCGGAGGCACTCTGGCGCCAACAACAAGTGCAGACAAACCAAGGCAGATTGCAGCTCCTGACATACATGCAGGTGCTGGAGGAGCCATTCCGCCTTGTCGAAGACGCCCACGAGGGAGTGTTCCGCCAGCCAGCGTTGCTGCGCGTGCTACTTGGACTTGTGCGCGACGTGCGAGCAGCGGCGAACGTCCACGTGACCAAGTGTGACCCGAGCTTGGTGCCTGTAGAGGGCATGTCTGCGGCTGCATCTACCTCTGCCAGTGTACAGCAGCACCAGCTCCTCCAGGATTGCTTGCTGGTGCACGGCATTCTGAAGCGATTGCAACCGCTGAGCTCCGAGTCCAGCGACAACGAAGTGGCTGAGGAGAGTCGTGCTCTGCTTTACACCATCGTCAATGAGCTGCTGACTGCAGACGCTGAGGTGTCTTCACCGTCGCCCACTCGATTGTTGCTGGCGATTCACACGCAGGGCTACGAAGTCACTCTGGTACCAACGTTAGTCGCTCATGTGCCTGGCATCGGGCGAGACGAAGAGTGGATCCGGTCGTACGAAGTGGAGCGTGGCCACTGTGCTTCGTTCGCTGTGTTCACTGAGGTCAAGCTGAACGAGGTGCAGGAGGGATATGTGGAGCAAGTCGGCCGACCGAATGCCGTGGAAGCAGCGGCGTGCTGTGCCACGCTGCTGAAGATGCCAGGCATCGTCGGATGCTACCGAACGTTGTTGGTGAAAATGCCGGCGGGGATCCAAGGCGCCATCTACCTCCCAGACGCTTCATTGTCGTCCATAGTAACGGACTCGACCTCCCCGGACGCGATGTCCGCACTTGTGCAGAGTTTTTACTCCCGCACCCCTACTTCGAGCGCGTTCGCGAGCTGGAGAAGACGCTGCTAGCAAGTCGGAGTATCACGGATCCGACTGTACTACGAGCCGTCAGTGTGGATGATGTGGCTCGTATTTTCCAGTACGTTCCATTTGCTCACGTCCAAGCGGGGATCGCAAAGGTCTACGCCACCAACTCGGCCATGCTGGATCAGCTTGTGAATGCGCTGCAAGAACAACAAGGTCTGCTGTTACTGAGACGGAAAGGCATGGGGTTGGATGATCCAGACTACCTGTACGTGTTCCGCTGGCTACGAGTGCGCAGATCTGTCGCGCGATCACTCACAACGCCGCAAGCTTCAGCTCCAGCGGTCGAGACATGATCCTCCGTCTGTGCTATCGTGGGGCTGGTAGACGCCGACTCGTTCCGAGACGTCTTCGAGCACTTCGACCTCCACGGGAAGATGTGCTTCCTGCATAACCTGACCTACACTGCATGGATCAGCTGGAGCTTGTTGTGCACGCGCTGCCCAATGCGGGCGAGTCGCTCTTCCGATTGTACCTCGCTACGTGCTCTGGCAGGGTCGGAGATCTACCGGACGAGAAGGCATTGGGAGGTGAGATGGTGCCGCGTCCGAGTCCCAAGGACGTGTTCTTCCTGAAGCTACTGACCCCGACGTGGAGTTCTTCTTCTTGAGCTACGCACCTGACCGAGGCGCAGTGGCTACTGCTGTCAAAAGAGTACGAGAAGAACGACAATTGGCGCAAGGCGCGGAAGCTACGACGCGCCAGCATGAACGCGTCAGACTTTGACATAGAGATCGAAGAAGACACGACCGACGGGCGGCCTATGTCCCAGTCGTCAACGGCAGCGTCGATCGAGCGCTTCCAGATGCTCGGGAAAAATAGCGGTGGTAAGAGCAAGAAGGACAGGTACCAGAAGATCAACAGCGTCGCGGTGCCTCGAGCAATTTCGGGGCTTATCACCTCGTGGCGCATGAACACGGATCAGCTCATTCAGTTCGCAAAGAAGTCCTTGACGAATGTCCTCAAGATCATCGCGGATGCATATAGCGAGATGCTGAGTGCAACAAAGCGCAAGAATCAACAGCAACGAGTGCCGTACGCCACACCGCGTGGCAGCGGGCGGACGCTCTCGCTCTCACAGATCGTGTACCAGTCTTTCCGCCACAGCTACGGACTACCGGGGATCGCCGACATGCATCTGCTAGCCTTCTCCTGTGCGATAGAGACCTATCGAACTCAGCATCTGCGTGTGGAGCAGTTTGTCCAGTTCTGCTTCGAAGAAGTCCCCAAGTCGGAGCTGACGAACTACTTGGAGTTTCTCGAGTGTATCGTGTCCGACGATCTGACGGGGACGATGATGGCCAGCCACATCCCAGGGCCAGTCGCGACGCCGTCCTCTGCCAACGGGAGGCAGCATGATGAACAACGCTGGTAATTCACGTGGTATATCGCAGAACACGCCTCCTGTCAACTCAAAACGATCATGCTTCGGTGCTCGCCTCAACGTTCCAGACAAGGAGAATTGCATGATCTCCGTCGATTGTGCACAGGAGATCGCGCAGCTCTGCTTTTGAGATGTGCGCAAGACGAACGTGGCCACTTTCTGCGATAATTTGGCGACGATCGCAGCTCAAGGGAACCCAACAGCAGTGCTGTCGTCTACAACAACTGTGACAGCAGCACCAGCAGAGGCGACGAGTGGCGAGCAAGTGCTGAACGTTGACCATTTACTGCAACTGGTGATCGCCGAGTGGCGAATGGAGCAGGTTCGACGCGAGCGCCACTTGCTGGACGCCTTCCGTGCTGGAGATGTGAACGGTGACGGACAGTTGACGTCGGCCGAGTTCACCCAGATCGTGTTGTCTATCGACGCCTCCCAGGATCTGGGCGACATTCTGCTGATGTACAGCGATACACTGCGACGTACTCAATGTGACCAGCTCAATGCTGAAGTATTTTTACAAGTTGCGCGTGAGCATGAACTGGATTGGGTGATGTGGCAAGGTGATGGAGATTTGTATGGCGTCGTGAACGAGGTGACAGACATGGAAGCGACGTGGGCCCACGTCCGAGGGTTCTTCGTCGGAACACTGGAAGCGCTGGCTCGGGATCTTCCGCCTACACATTTCCTGCGTATCTGTGAAGGTGCTGGATATGGCTGCTTGAAATGCCTCCTGGATGGATACATCGACTTCCCGAAGATGAGGCGCGAGTTTGCACTCGCTCAGCAGCAACAGAAGCACTCCGGGGACTTGGGTCGACGCAATTCGTACGTCGGTGTATCCTCTCAGCTTGTGTGGGCGAGGTTTTGGCATCTTATGCGGCAATTACACGACGCCGCAGCGGAAAGTGACGGCATGGGAAGGCACCAAGTACGTCTGCGACCAACCAGTGTTGGCACTAGCTCCGAGGTCGAACACCCGCCGACGCGACTCACTGCCGAACTTCCTCTTCCCGGACACTGCGCGCATCACGGCCAAGATGAGCGCGGCTCACCACCCAGAAGCTTTCGACGCTCCGACGATCCACGCCCAGTTCGCGTATTAACTCACCCACGTGACTGTCAAGGGGCCAGAGGCCACGGTGCCTCCGTCGTAGTCGGGCAGCACGTTCGACTGCGATATTCAACGAGATATCTGCTTGGGGCTTCAGCTGACTGGTTTCAAGGCTGTTGATGTGGCCTCGAAGATGGCGAACAGCGCGCGCGCTCACTGCTTCTACTTGTTCTTCAAGTCAAGTGACGGGGTCGCAACCAGCCGCTATGAAGACGACGAGGAAACTACAGAACCGACCTCCTCTGTCGCGACGGATGGTGTGTCTTCATTTTTTGCCGCAGTCATACTCAATTTCGTTATGGAGAGCACCCCATCTGCTGTGGAGTGCATGGAGCAGTTTGAATAGCGGAAACCTTAACGTGTCTGTCATTCTCCCAGTCAGCCCAAGCTTCATGACGCCGGCACGGTAGCACGAAACAGATCCAGAGTGGGAGGGAGGATACATTTGCCACGGTCATGAGATTACTCTCCGTCATCCTGGATCACGTCGTGTTTGCATTACGCTTCGAAAGTGGCAGCAATCAGGTCACCTGTGAGTAGAAGAAGCCACGCGACGGCTCATTCGCTCTTCTGCCGCCTCGACATCACCCGGACCACGTCTTGCGCCCCAACAACTAATGACCGACAGCGCTCTCTTCCCGCCGAACAGTCGCTGGCTGAGCGACAACGTGATCGGCTCCGTACTACAGCGCAGCAGACCAGCGACCCATAGCCGCTCGGACAACAATGGCGCAAGGCACGATTCTGATCCTGCCTCCGCGTATGAACCGAGAGCCCGAGCAACGCTCCAGTATCACGAGCAGTTTAGAGTACGTGAAGCAATAGTGTCCGCCGCCGACCGACTCCCAGCTCCAGTATCCCCCTCCTCGTCTCCGAAAGGAGAATGCCCAGTCAGCTACACGCCCTCAACGCCGAGAGAGCGATACCGCAGCTTGTGAAGAAAACGTAGCCGAGATCCACCGAGAACGCCGTCGACGCATCCAAATTCGGTACAGGACGAAGCTGCGGACTCAAGCACAAAACCTCAAGACGGAGGTGCGAGTTCTTCGCGAACAAGTGCAGAAGCTCGAGTTTCAGCTGCAGATGATATCCCCTCGAATCATTGAAAACACGACCCCGTGGAACGTTGTAGCGGAGTATTTCCGGCTCTTCCGGTTCGTCTTGACGGCGTACGTGCCGCTGTCGGAGCGCTTCAACAGCCCAAGATCTGCTTGTGTGTATGAAACTCGTATGCACCGCGACTTCCTGCGGAATACTATGGCCCCAGGTGTGATTATCGATGATGACCAAGGCGTGAAGACGATGCTCGAGCGCTGGAGCGCTCGTGTCGATTTCGCAGCCGAACTTTGAGATCCAGGTGGTTCGTTTGGAGAGTGGGCCCGGTGACTGCATCCTAGTCACGACCAAGATCAGCATCGTCATATGTAAGAGTATGCTGCAGCACACGTTCCCGAATTTGGACTAGACAGAGAGGGGGAGGCATTTCGCAACGAAGCTACTGGGCCAGCGGACAGTGTTTGAAAAAAATGAATTGGCGGCGATTGGCAGACACAATCAACACTGCAGTTACTACTGGAGTCGTTACTCATGCTGCAATCGGCTACTGCAGTATCGGTCGTGCTGCAATCGTGAATTGCAATACGCGCCGTCGCCGCAATAATACATTTATTGTGCCATATGATAATTGCAATAAGGTTTTGCCACCCAAGCTGGAGCTTCTGAGCAAATGCTCGGGGTTAAAAATGGCTTTGGTTTAGCTAATTTGGGAGAGACCAACGCAGAGACCGTCGAGGATAAGCTCGCCGTTTGTCGCAAGGGAGATAGACCTCATTTTTGATTCATCACTCTAGAAAGCAACATGCGTTGAACCGGCAATACCACGTAGTACGAGACTGCAGTAAGTGTCGCGGTCGCAGTTAAGATTGCAATCGTTGGCGTCTCTGCAATTGAGAATTGGTATTGTGGCGCCGTCCGCAGTTGAGCATTGCAAGAAAAAACATTGTACGGCGGATAGAGCAAGAGATTTTTTCCAAACACTACCAGCGGTTCGAGATCAATAGCTCCATTCAGTTCATTTGCAACAACGAGAAGAGCAGCATGCTGAGTTTGCAGCACAAGTCGGACGTGTTGGCACCAATCTGACAAGAACGGTTGGAACACGTTTTGTCTAGCAATTAGCAAGGCGAGCTTGAAATCAGCCTGCGTCTTTTTCAAATAGTGATGAATCATATTGTTGGCATGAGGAAACTCAGAGCAACCTACGTTAGTCGCAATATGACACAGTCTGTATAATACAGTGTATAATAGGCTACATATTATGTAGCCTGCTTCAACTTCACGGAGTCGTGTTATGAAAAGCGCGATCAACACCTGGCAAACGTCGCATGTAGTAAGTACTTCAAGTATTAATACATGTACTCTGCTTTCAACAGATTTATCCTGGCGAGTCGAATCCAAAAGATAGGATGAGTTGAGAGCTGAGATGGGGCTATACAGCGAGAGCAGCAACTTGGTGGTCCGCTCAGACTGTAGCGTATTTTGCTGATGCAACACCACTCACTTTGTTTCTTGCGACGCCCAGCTAAACGACTCTCGCTCGCCAAGACCCAATGGACAGCGCTCTCTGCCCACCCAACACTCGCTGGCTCAATGACGAAGCGATCGGAGCAGTGCAGTCCAGGCCAGCAGCCCGAGATCAAAGTCATCTCGCCCAAGGTCGACAAGTTCCTGACGCTGGCCCCGCATACTACACAGAACCGGACCGGCGTATTCCTGACGGGTTCGGTAACTCATTGTACGCGCACCATTCTGCCGTTCCAGCTCCGTCGCCTCCCTTCGGTTCGGCTCGTCCTGCCAATCATGAAAGCCTTGAGTGGGTAGCCGCTGAAGTAAACGCGCTTCGGAACTTTCGAGAGCGTCGGCGACTCACTCAAGTGCGATACAGACAGCGGCTGCAGTCCCGAACCGATACCGTGGAGGTGGAAGTTCAAAGTCTCCGTTAAGAGGTGCAGAAGCTCGAGCTACAGCAGCAGAGTTTGATCCCTCGAACCATCGTCAAGACGACCGCGTGGAGTGTCGTGGCGGATTACTTCCGTCTCTTCCGCTACGCTCTGACGGCGTACGTGCCAATGTCGGAGCGTCGCTGATGGTGTACGAATCGAATGAACATCGCGAGTTCCTTAACGCCACAATGGCTCCAGATGTGGTTGTCGACACTGGATGAGGGGTGGAGGCGATGCTTGAACACTGGAGGTTCATTTCTTTTTGTCAACGCGACTTTGAGACTGTAGCTGTTAATATGGAGAACGGCCCAGGTAATACGACAACGAGGACATGACTCGTGTTGGGTGAATCTATGCTTATCAGCGCTTTCCCGAGACTGGCGATGTCTGATCGGGGGAGGGATGCACGGCGAAGAGTTTGAGCTTAAGCCCTTATCGGGGCAACGACTTTCGAGTGGGACAGCGAGAACGGGTGTGTCCTGAGTGTGCCGGCGGATCTGGTGTCGCCGATGCTGCGCGTACTTGGCAGCTTAGGTTTAAGGCACGTTTTAAGGGCTCCTGTGCTTGGTCGGCAGAAAAAAATTGTAACTTACCGAAACCAGGTACCATTCTAACCGAAATAGAGTACTTGTTAACCTAAACAATTTCATTTAAAGCTACGAATGGCTACATGTATTACTCTGTATGGCTTCGCTGAAGGCGTATTAATTTGCGCCATAATCGACCAAGCTTAGCTGAAGATGACCAACATGACTTGTCTAGCGTAGGCTGCATTTTTTACATGTCAAATTGCTCAATACCCAATCACCCTTCGCCGAAGATGCCCAACCTCGTGTCTTTCTCCAAACCAACCAGCTCACCTCGACAGTGACACGAGCATCGTTCGTTTGAATAATACTTTTTTTCCCTGCGACGAAGCGCCCACTTCCAAGGACTTGGCCTATTAACGTATTTCTCATTCCGCAATTTACTCCCCGAGCCCTCAAGTTAAAAGGTCAAGATCAGCGCACCATGCGTCTCTCCTTCGTTCCGCTAGCTCTCTCGTCTGATCGTTAGCACACAACATAGTACTAAATGAGCACAGTATACCTTACCTGCAAAATGAATGAAATAGCTCGTTGCTGGCGTCAACGCAGCCATTGGACGCTGACCACGGAGTTATGTCACCGATGGCCTGCCTCATCAGACCAGGCAATCTCAATTGGGGACTTTCGGTTCCTGAGAACCCACCACGGTAAAGAAGAGCGCGGCTTGATGGTTACCAGCCTCACAAACATTTGACTGAGATATTATCCTGGGAGACCAGCTTGCTGGTTTACCAGCCTCACAAACTTTAATTCGTCACGAATCTATTCCCAGTTACAGGTAACGTTCAGGAGACATCGAAATCGCAATTAGCGATGGTACAAAAACTTCTCAAAAACAAAACACTTCTTTTGAAGTTTTTCGCTCTTCACAAGTTTTAAGAAAGTAGGCAGACATTTGTTCGTTTCAATTTGACTAGAACATCATTTCGTACTTCTCCAGTTGCACATTACCGGCCAGATGCTACGGTTGCAAAGCAGGCGCAGTAGATGGCCGTAGTTATATCCAACTATCCGTGCTTCTTGACTCAAATTTTGTCCTATGTTAGATTTTGTGCTATAAAACCGCCATACACAGGCGTATCCTGCGCCTGTTTTGCAGCCGCAGTATCTGCCTGCCTCCGACTGCTAGGGTTCTCGAAAGCTGCAGTATGCGTAGTTCCACAGGCAGTTCACCAACTACTGCACCGACCTCTGAAGAATATACAACAGGTTCGATACAAACGCGAATTAGAAGTAAACGCGTCGACTTTCAAAGAGTTTTAGATTGCGGAGGGCTGCATCTGAACATCTTTAGTGTAAACTGTCTGTCTGTGAACAACTATGCAGAGCTTTCACTTCCACGATAAAAAAATACTAAGTTGAAAAATGGTCTCCCAGCCAAAGGGCAGCAACCTTGTTTCCGTACCGATACACTTCGATGTGCGCAACTATTTGTTCAATTACGCATTCCCGGGCGGATGCTGCGGCCGCGAAGCGGCCGCAGTAGATGCCCACGTTAGAATCAACTACATGTAGAGAGTTGAGCTGGTAGTGCTTTTAACAGTACCTCCAAATAACAACTTTCAAAATACGCCTAAAATGGGGTGGGATTACAGATTTAGTTAATGTCGGAATGCGTGCTGTATTCCATGGTAGAACCAGGGAATTGTGTTTTCCACTTCAAATTAGTACTTTCGATATACCGGTACACACCGGTATTATACCGGTAACCCTGACCGCCCACAGTCCAACCGATGGACGCGTGGCGTTCTCCCCTCACTTCGAATCAAGACCAACAAACAAGCAAGCAAGAAGGGGGTCCTTAACCTCTCAAGACTACGTCATGATCACCCGTGGAACCACCGACCAAGCCGGCGCCCCCAGCTCGCCATCGCCCAGGACCGAGACGGCCCCGTCGGACAGCGAGCGCCCGACTGCCGTCGCTGCCGCGGACTCAGCCCCTCCTGATGTTGTGGACATCACGGGCGCAGACGAACCATGGGCGAGGGCGCCTGCAAGGTGGACGTCCGACCCCGCCCCGCTCCGCATGAGCAAGCTGGCGACGCCGAAGGTAGTCTCCGGTGAAGCCCTCACGGAAGCTCGCAAGGGCAAAAAGAAGCTGGTCAAGCGGCCGACGGCAGGGACCAGCGGCGAGCCACCACGGAAAGCGGTGGCCGACGGCGACCACGACTCCGACTCCGACCCGGAGGACAAGACGCCGGCGCCGCCTGCGAAGTAGCCGCGTAAGACTACGACTCCAGCGAAGACGAAGCCAGCGAAGGCCGCGACGACCTCGAAACGTGCGGTGCCGACGCCGAGATCCGACAGCGGCTTCGACCTGAGCTCCTTCATGGCCTCCTTCTCGCCTGGCACTGCGCTCGAGGCGACTGTTGCGCCCGTCGATGGGAGCACGGCTTTCGCGACGACCCCCAACGAAGCCTCGGTGGCGACCGACGACATCGCCCCTCAGGACGGCGTTGCTGTTCGTGCGCAATTGCAAGAGCTGCAAGATGAGGTGGAACGTCTGCGTGCGCTGGTGGCCGGGCAAGGGCTTGCTCAGCTCCCTGTCGCCGTCACGTCACGCCTGCATGCAGACCCCTCGGCTCCCACGGCTCCTAACAACAAGGGGGAGATGCCGCCGGCGGAGATGCGGTACCTGACGACATCAAGCTTCCCCGAAGGTGCGAAAAAGGCGAAGGGCGACTACAACCCACCGCAAGCTCATCTTCTGGCGGCGAGCCGGATGTTCCGCGCATTCGGCACGGAGACAGGTACGCCCCTGTCTGCGATGTCGTTTGTGTTATGGATGCGGAAGCTGGAGGCGGTAAAGTTTCAAGCTATTCCTGCGGTGCTGATGGCGATCTTCAGTAGTCGCCTGGGGTCACGTGGGCTCACTGTGATGCATTTCAAGGAGTCGTCGGAGATGTCGTCACTGGAAGCTGGCTCGTCAAACGCGAACTTCTCGGGCGATTTTCGGCGCGCGAGCGGAAAATTTACCGTGAGAGCACCTGTTTTGCCCTTTTTCCGACCTCTTCCACCACCGGAACACCGACTTCACCAGGTAGGTACAAGGGCACCAGCGGAGCCAGCGCCGCTTGCGCTGGCACTTTGACCTTACGGTCCGGGTTGGCCATACAGCCACCTACAGCTATACAGCTAACTTTGACTATACAGTCCGGGTCGACCATACAGTCACCCACGACCATACAGCCAGTGCCGGCCATACAGCCGGTACACCAATTAAACCATATATGTGGAGCGTCACCTCTCACTATATCACAAGATTGTGGAGTAGCGCCCTCGCAGAAATCTCGCGAATGCGATCTCGCACAAACTCGGCGCGTCTGGATAGCGGTCGCGCCGAGCAAATTATTCCCGGTTGTTGGAGTAGCGTATCTTCGAAATACAGGCCCAAGTCTTCGCAGGCTTCGGAGTTGGGGGTTCTTGTGTTGACGCTTGTTCCTTGTCGTAGGGCGTCGAGCCTTGGGCGTGCGGCGTTATCGGGCCGGCGTTTCCTCGTCGTTCCCGTCGGGCGTGCGGCGTTATCGGGCCGGCGTTTCCTGGGGCTTGTGTGGCGTTATCGGGCCTACACGGGGGTCTTGTACACGGCGGTTATCAGGCCAGTGCGGTCCTTCGCCTAGGCACCGTGTTATCGGGCGCCCACCTAAACGGTATACGTTTAACGTGCCTTTGTTCCAGCACGGGTCTGTGGGGGGTGAGCACCCGAACCAGCAAACGACGGGGGGGCGCGATATCGAGGCGGCTCTACTTGCCGGCGCTTGGTGGTTCCCCTGGAACCTCGGAGAAGACGGGAGGTCTTTGTGGTTCAGATAAATTTCGGGACTGAGTCCTTACCCTATCCTATGTCCTTGCTACTGGCTACTCTGTACTACCGCTTGCTAAGCCTACCGTTCTGTGCCTATCCTTACTTCTGTCGTGCTTGCACTACCGTGCTTCAACCTGATTTACGTGGCGCAATCAAGATCTTACCTCGGCGCGTTTTGGTCGGCGGGGGTTAGGGCGCATTTTGCTCGGCGCGTTTTGCTCGGCGGGGTTTAGGGTCGGCGCGTTTTGCAGAACCGGGCGCGCTGGTCGACCCGTCGGATGATTACGCGTCGCACTGGATTCTGGCACCGTGTCTCACGGCCCATCACCGACGCCGACTTTTCCGTCGAGCTCGGCCCTGCGTCGCGCCCATCAATCCGCGTCGCGTTCCATCAGCAGCGTCGAAGTCCATCACTCGCGTCCCGGCGCCTTATTCCTCCGGCGCCTGGCACGCCCACTTCTTCCGCGGGGTACTACACCACAAGATGTTAGGTGTCCAATATCATGTGGGAGTGAGTTGAGAAGCGCTGCGACTCAGCCGGCCTCGCGGATAATCGGCTCGCCGGGGTCGGCATCGTGTACCCCGGACCAACGAAGTACGGGCCATCCTCTAGAAGAAGCCAAGTTGCGCAACGATATCGCGCCGCGGCCAAACTACCTGCGCTCCGTCGTCTGCGTCAAGACCGCTGCAGGCATGCACCTGAACGCCCGTGCCTGGAGCGATTTACTGCGGATGTCTCGGAGAGCTACTCTGGCTCAAGCTATGGCAAAATATGGCATCGCGCTGCCGTCGGACAATTATCCGCTGTCGCGACCACGCGCGGCGGGACCCGAGTTCCTTCTGGACACCCCGTTGCAAAAGGCGCTATCGGAATATGCACGGCAGTCGGGCATGATACTGCCAGCCTTTGTGGAGCTGGTGCGCGGACAGACGGCTGATGAGTACCGGCCTAACAAGAACCTGGTCCCAGGCGTGCTGAACGAAGTATGCAAGGGTTACGCACATCTGGAAGAGCTCCAGAAATCGTGCAGGGCGGCGTTGAAGTTCGGCTAAGCAAGACACCTCCACGGCAGGTACAGCGGCCACCAAATCACGGGTCGGCGCGAGATCGCCTTAATGTGCTCCGCAAGAACATTCGCAAGGAGCAGGATGCTGGGCGGTGCCTCGTACTCGACCGCGATCTCCTCAAGCAATGGCCCGAGATTATTATCAGCCCCTTCGGGGTGGTGGACAAGGGCAATGAGGACGCAAACGTGTCGGGTAGGATGATCCACGATCTGTCATACCCCGAAGGCACTTCCATCAACGACTACACGGATCAGGACAGCATCACCAAGCCGGAGTACACTCACTGCGACGCGGTGGCGGCCGAAATCCTGAGGTCCAAGCACGCTCACCCAAGGACCCGGGTGTGTGTGATGGCTGGTGATGTGGCGTCTGCTTTCCGCAACGTCAGCATTCACAGCAACAGCGTGTATCTTTTCGGCGGCCACATCGAGGAGGACGATGTCATCGTGATCGAGCTCGCTGCGCCATTCGGTTGGACTGGATCACCGGGTTTCTACGAGATTGCTGGTGGTACTGTCGCTTGCGTGCACGGTTCACACACAACGGCGAGTACCCGGGTGGTGTCTTCAATTATCACTGGGTTGACGAACACATCAATGTGGCTGCGGATATTGGCACCTCCTGCGAGGACGTTGATCGGTCCCTACGGTACGCTATGGTAGCAGTCCTGGGAGCTGACGCTATCAACACTAAGAAGTTCACCGACTGGAACACGCGCCAACGTGTACTGGGCCTCATGTTCGACACGGTGGCGGAAACGGTCTCGATGCCAACGGAGAAGATAATCAAGGCACGCAGTATTGTGGCGGCTGCGTACTCTGCTTCATCACTTTCAAGGCAAGCCTACCGGTCGCTGATGGGTAGCCTCCGGCACGTCGCAACATGCATCCGTGCTGCACGGCCGTTTCTCCAGCGTCTGCGCCGACGCGAAAGTTATCTTCAGCCGTTTCAGCGTGTTCCGATTACGCCGGACATGCAACAAGACCTGATATGGTGGTGGTGTGTGCTCCACACTCCCCGCCTGAACGGCGTGTCGCTAGAATACTTCAATGCTCTCCCAGTACCCGATATTGTAGTCGAAATGGATGCGTCCGATTATGACCTCTGAGCGCTGGATGTATCATCGCAAGTGGCCCTCACGTACCGGTTCTCGGACAGCGAGCGTGCCTTGATTGTGGCTTTTAAGGATGGCACGCCCAACGGCTTCGATATCAACTTTCGGGAGCTGCTCTCGTGCGCTTTCGCGGTGCACGGTGGGGCTCTGGTGCCTCGCGCAACGAACGCCCACGCCACCTTCAATTTCGCATCGACAACACTTCTGCGGTCGTATGGCAAAACAAGCTCGCGTCCTGTAATTCACGCGCTCAAGTGATTATCCGGCTACTTAGCTGGTGGGAGACTTCGTTCCAGCTTCGGTTTTCGGCGGCGCACGTGGCCAGCTCTGACAACGAACGCGCCGAGGCTGGCTCCCGCATTGCCGCTAACCCATCGTATGCGATCAAATTCTCGTCACTAACTCCCGGATGGTCGCAGGTGTCGCCGACAGTGGATATTCAAGGTCTGATCGATATCTGGCAGCGTATCTCCGAGCGCACTCCGGTGCCGACTCCACGTTCGAGCAATACCGCCGAGCCTTGACCAAGTGGACGACCTGGACGTCCCGCCAGGGCATTGCACCCTCGCTTTTGGGCATGCCTCTCGCTGCTCAAGTGCAGCACATCTCGGATTTTATTCTCCGCGGCTTTCGGTATGGCTTCGGGTCCGGGGGTCCCATTCGCAGCGACTCGATCATGGCCGTGCTCAGCGGTGTTCGGCACTTCTTCGCGGCATCCGTTCATGACTTCCCGATCGCACACCCGCACATTCGTATGCTGCTTAAGGGCATCAGCCGTCTCGATTCACCTCCGCGTCGGAAAGCACCAGTGTCAATCGGACTCCTCGAGGTGTGCTTCCGCAACCTTTCAATGACTGAGCCCTTCGAGCAAGCCCTCTGGGGGGTCATGTGCCTGGCGTTATTTTTCCTCCTTCGGCGGTCGGAAATCGTGGCAATTACTGGCGGTTCGTTCAAGTGGTTTGCTGTTCGACTCAAGACATCGCGGTTCTGGATGCGGAAGGCCAGCCAACCCTGTCCCCATCGAAGGCACAGTCGGTGTGTATGCGCCTGATCGGCTCCAAGACAAACCAAGGCGGCTCTCCTACAACGAGGATGTTGCCGCGCTCGGGGCATCCATTCTTGTGCCCGTGTTTGGTGCCTTGATCCTTCTCCAAGTCCGGAAACACCTACCCGCTGATATACCGGCTGCAGTGTACCTGGACCGCTGCGGAAAACCGGCCTGCATTGCGACGGATGATGTGTCAGAAGCTATCAAGCGGGCGGCTACCAGCACTGGCGAAGTCCCACGCTGTTTCAGCACCCATTCTCTACGAGCGGGCGGAGCAACCCACATGGACCGAGCTGGCACGGATGCACTCACGATCCAGTTTCACGGTCGTTGGGTTTCCGATGCGTTCAAGACCTACACCAGACTCTGCAAGGAGTCGGTTGCTACTCTGGCGGCAAACATGGTAACAGGTCCGCGGGGCGATTCGACGTTGCATTAGTGGGGCTGATTGCATGACCATTTGGGGGCACCGCTCTCCTCGTCCCTTATCGGACTGAGCTAATGGTCATCGCACAAGCTCCCATTAATGAAACTTCGTTTGACCCCCAATGTAGTGGAAATCCGATTTTTTTAATGCCACAACCGGTTAGTCTCTGTAACAGGGTTACACGCACAAGTGGCTACAGTCACTTGTAACTCTAACAGACCCGGCGTCTGTTAGAGGTTCGAAAGACTTTCTCGACCTTGGTGTAGACACACCAAAGGCTACATACATTTACGATCACCACGACGGGTGGTCCATAGAGACTTAGGACTCCTATTGGTTGAAAGCAGCATATTGTAGCCAATGAGCGACATGCACAGGAAGGGAATTCTGCCAACCAGCCGTTGGCAGATTCCTAACTTAGAATATTACATTTAGAGGAAGTCAGAAAGCATAAAACAAAAATAGCAGTTCTCATTTTAACCCAAAAACATTATTTGGAGCGTTTATTTAGATTAATCTATACTCGGAGGCCCGAGTATAATTAACTCTAGTTTAAACTAAGCTACGCTTCCTCATACACGTGCGTACACGTGTAAGCTAAAGTAGTGAGCCAAAGTAGGCCCATTACACCTGGTAGCACTTTGTAGTCCGTCCAACGACCGACTACCTGAGTTCGTACGTCACCGCACGAACGCGGAGCTGAGTACCTTCCCATGGATACAGAGATGCCCATGGAAAGCTCCACTACGCCCGCAACTCATGTTGCACGCGCTGACTGTCCCCACCTGTCGGACCCAGAGTGGGAGGCTCTCCAACGACTGTCAACAGTCATTGGTGAGGCGGCTGTAGCTACGATGCTGCGTACGCTAACGCCGACAGAGCAACACGGTGTTGCTCTGGGTTTCATCTTGAAGGAGCAACGCGATGTTGCTGCTACTACCGCGGTGTCGTCCGGGACGACACCACGCGCGCAATCGCTAAAGCTCAATGTGAGTAACTATGTCGGAAGAGAGGGTGAACCTCTCCTCCGTTGGCTTGTCGAACTCGACACCGCCATTGCGGCTCGACGTATCATCGACCCGTTGTCGAAGGTTGCGTTCGCCATGTCATGTCTTGGCGGACGTGCAAGAAGTTGGGCGTATGGACGTCGACTCTCGGATCCTACGTGCTTTAGCACGTACGAGGGTTTCAAGGAAGAGCTCAGACAAGCGTTTGAGCCCCCGCAAAACGAGTTCCGGTCGAGGGCGGAGTTCCTCGACCTGCAGCAGGGCAAGCATGATGTCCATGCTTACGCTCAGAGAGCACGGTACTTGGTCTCGAACATCGTGACCAATCCGATCGACGAGGCGACCAAGGTCGTCACGTTCATGAAGGGGCTGAGAGATGGGCCTGTGAAGACCTATCTCTTCCGTGAGTACCCGAGTTCTCTCGAAGCTGCAATTACTCTTGCAATGCAGGAGGAGTTTAGCCTGCGGCAAGCTAAGCTGCACGCACATGTGCCGAGGCCGCAACCACGCCCGGTAGTGAGGACGGGAGGCCCAGAGCCCATGGACCTCTCGAGTGCTGCTACTGCTGGTCCCCAGCAGTCGCAAGGAAACAATGTGCGATGCTACCGCTGTGATAGAGTCGGTCACTTCGCTCGAGAGTGCACGGCTCCCGTGCACCAGCAGGGTGGCTATCGCGGCGGCGCCGGGCACCGTCGCAACCAAACAAAAAACGCTGGACGCCAGTAGGCGCGGGGCGCCCTACTGGTAATGCGGTTTCGCGTGTCGATCTTGGACACGCGACACTGAGGACTGCAGCCCCCAGTGAGGTTCATTCTCACTGCAAGAACCAAGATGACAAGCCTGACCTTGTCATCCTGAATGTGGACTCGATGAGAGCAAGTGTCTCTCTCCGTGCTTTGGTAGATTCTGGTGCGTCGAAGAACTTTGTTCGGCTGCGAAGTCTATCAAGGCTTGACTTCGAGGATTTAAAGATACCTCGAAGTATGTTGGAAGTACGACTGGCAACGGGTGCCGTCGTGAAGACCGAGAAGCGCATGGTACGCGTGCGCTTCACGTATGAAGATCAAGAGTTTGTCGAGACCTTTATCGTCCTGGATCTGGACGATAAGTTTGACATTGTATTGGGCATGCCGCGGCTTGCACGGCATGATCCGGCCATCGATTAGGAGAAGCGCACGAGAGTGCGCTTCGGTCGCGACAGCGGAACAGTGAGCGATGGTCCTGTTGCCGCTACGCACGCACCGACAGGTGCGCGCGACTCCCCACTCGAGACAGCGCCTAATGCCGCAGTCCCGGAGCGCCCTGGGCGCGCGCGAGTACGCGCGCAAGAGCAGCTAGCGTCGGCGTTGCCACCGACGGCTAATGAAGGAAATGTGTTGACCTCGGAGATCGACACCCGTTTTTCAGCGAATCAGGAAGAGTCTCCGGCCTCAAGGGGCGCGGGTGACGCAGGCAAGACACACGCCTCAGCCGTGGAGGCTGACGCGAATCTGATTGGATCAGATCTGGCCAATAATAAGAGCCAAGGTGACGTAGCGCCGTCGACTCCGGGAGTCGATGGCTTGGATGAATTTGATTCGTAGGCTCGGGGAGCCGACGCACCCTCCGTAATGGGGGTCTCCGCCAATGGTAGGCGTCGAGGTATTAACGTCGCGTCGGTTCAGGGAGCCGACGTTGCGAAGAGGCATTTCGTGTCGACTCCGGGAGTCGACGCACCCTTTGTAATAGAGGGCTCCGCCAATAATAGGCGTCGAGGTAAAGATGGCGTGTCGGTTCCGGGAACCGACGCTGCAGGCGGTGTGGACGGTTGCAAACGTCTCGCACCGGAAAAACTTGCATGCTGTCGGGCAGCCGGGCTGCACGGTCGCACGGCGCTTTGTCGTGCAGCCCGGCTGCACGACAAAGCGCCGTGCGACCAAGCCGGGCTTGAAGTCGCATGCCCGCGGGATGAACCCGCCGGCGGTATAAAAGAAGAACACCCGTCCACGGCTGGGCCTGGGCGAGGTCAAGAACCAAGCGGAGCCGGGCTCCGCAAAACAAGAGGACGGCGCATGCGAAGGTCGCTGCGCAAGTCTCGGCCTGGGGCCGAGACGCTACAAGAAATGTCTGCCGGGCAGACGCAGGCAGAGAAGCCGGACGTCGAGACGTTGAACGTCTGGACGCGTACCTGTGCCGGGTTCCGATACAGGGAGATGACTCCCGCTAATCCTCCGACGCAAGCGTCGGAGTTGACTTCGCTTCCAGTCATGAGGTGGAAGCGCTTCGCGCGTGACTTCCACGATGGACGCATCGAGCAGATATGCATCCTCTCGGACGCCGAGAGAACGAAGAGCGAGAATGAATAACTGAGGCAGTTCTTCATGGAGAGCACCACTGAGGGTGAGGGCACTCTCAGTGCGAAGACGAAGAAGGAGCGCTTTGAAGAGCAGAGCTGGGACTCGTTGAAGACGAGTGCCTACTACAAGATCTTACGGGAGTACACGGACGTACTTCCGGAGGAGATCCCTGCGGAGCTTCCGCAGGACAAGGGCATCCGGCACGAGATCAATCTCGTTCCGGGCACGAAGTACTGTGTGACGCGGCAGTGGCCACTGCCGCGAGAGCAGGTCAAGGCGATCGACGACTTCTTTGAGAGTCGTCGCAAGGCTGGACAAGTGCGGGAATCGAAGTCCCTGCACAGCGCTCCGACGTTCTGTGTCAAGAAGCCGCAGGGCGGCTGACGCATCGTTCATGCGTACAACAAGTTGAACAATGCGACGATATCGGCGCAGACACCGATACCGCGAAAAGATGTCGTCATCGATTCGATGGCCAGGAGCACCATCTAGAGTGCTCTTGATCTGCGCGATGGGTTCTATCAGATCCTCATGCGTGAGAGCGATATCCCTCTCACGGCAGTGAGCACGCCAAGCGGCATGCTCTGGGAATGGCTCGTGATGCAGCAGGGCCTGAAGAACGCCCCTGCGACCTTCAACAGGTGCGCGACGCACTTGTTGCGCTCGGTGCGCGACTTCGCACCGAGCTACTTCGATGACGTGTTTGTCCGCAGCCGGGCTGCGGACGGGATGAGCGACGTCGAGATGCACAAAGTACATCTTCGGAAGTTGCTTGCGCTCATGCGCAAGCACAAGCTCTTCGCGAACCTGAAGAAGTGCAATCTTCGGGGCGAGCGCGATACCCGTGCTCGGGTGTCTCGTTGGGAATAATGGTGTCCGCCCTGACCCTGAGAAGGTCAGAGTGATCAATGAGTGGCCGACGCCGTCGAACGTCAAGGAACTGCGGTAGTTCCTTGGCTTGGCCACGTACTTGTGCAGTACGTGAAGGCCTACGCGGGCACGATACGCCCGCTCTCACAGCTCCCGAAGAAGGACGCCGGGTGGGTTTGGACTGCTGAGTGTCAGCAGGCCTTCGATGCAGTCAAGCAGGGCTTGACTGAGGCGCCGATCTTGGCGGTGGCCGACCAAGATCGCCCATTCCACGTTGTGTGCGACGCATCCGACTTCGCAATCGGATGTGCGTTGATGCAGCACGATCACGAGGGTCGTGATCGTGTCGTCTACTACCAATCGCGTCAGCTGAAGCCAGCTGAACGCAACTATCCGGTGCATGACAAGGAGCTCCTTACCATGAAGTACGCACTCGCGAAGTTCCGAGCGTATCTACTCGGAAGCAAACCGTTCGTGGTCTATACAGACCACGCATCGCTGCGGACGGCTGTGAAGTCGCCCCACACCTCGCAACGGTTGGCGAGATGGCTCTCATTCTTCACAGAGTACAACTTCCGGGTTGAGTACAAACCCGGAAGGCTCAATGTGGTGGCCGACACGTTATCGCGTCGACCTAACTACGCTACGAATGATGTTGACGTCAATGCCATTGACGCCATGCGATCGAGCACTCCCACGTCGTCGCTGCTGGACGACGTGAAGGCCGCGTACGCGCACGACGCGGACGCGAAGCTCTTGCTGGCCTACGGCTCATCGCCTTCTGACCAAGCTCGTCAGAAGCTGCCGAAGCATCTTCGTGCTCGTGCACACCACTATCGGGTGCACGATGGGTTACTACTCTACAGTGCAGTCGACGACAACGCGGACCGCGTTGTCGTGCCCAACGACCATGACCTGCGACTCAGGATCATGTATGAGTATCACGATGCACCGACTGCGGGAAGACATACCTTCTTCTCACGCGAGACTTCTACTGGGCCCACCAGTATAAATGGGTGCGCAAGTACGTCCGTGCTTGCGAGGTGTGTCAACGTGTGAAGCCTGCGCCGTTCGCACAGGCTCCTTTGCAGTCACTCCCGACTCCGTCGGAGTGTTGGCAGTCCATGTCTTTGGACTTCGTGTTCGGTCTTCCCCCGGACAGCCAGGGGAACACAGGCGTTGTGGTCTTTGTTGACCGCTTCAGCAAGATGGTACATCTTGCTGCGGTATCCGCTGAAGTGACTGCGAAACAGACTGCACGTCTGTTCGTCGACATGGTGTTCAAACACCATGGCATGCCGATTGACAGTGTGTCGGATCGAGACCCGCACTTCACTGCGCACTTTTGACAAGAAGTGTTTACGATTCTTGGGAGTCAACTTTCGATGTCGACTGCGGACCATCCGCAGCCGGACCGGCAGACCGAGCGCGTGAACCGCGTGCTCGTAGACAGGTTCATTGGTCTTGTTAGCTACACAAAACCTGCCTAAACATGCAGTTTCCGACTTCGGGGCGAGCAAGCTCGCTCCGCGCTTCATCGGGCCGTTCACAGTGTTGGCACGGCATGGCAACGCTTACACGCTAGATATTCCATCTAGCATGCGCCTCCATCCGACCTTTTACGTCGGGCGGCTGAAGCCATACCGGCAGCACGAGCCACCTAGCTCGGCTGGCCCGAAGCGGGAGCCCCGGCGGGAAAAACCTTCTGCTCCAGTACGTGAACGCGCTGGGCCAAACGAACGACGCGACCTCCCACATCGACGGAGATATCCGACGTGGTCTGCGAACCCTGAGCGACTTGAGCCCTCAGGATCGCAATCTCCTGCTTCAGAGCGGCGAACTCGCGGCTCTGATGCTGCTCCACTACGGCGACCTGCTCCTCGAGAGTCGGCCAGCCAAGGTCAACCCCAGGTGGATGGACCATACCCGGGGCGTGTTCCCACCACCGCCGCCTCCGATCCGCGACGCCCACGGCTCAACACGCTGGATTGTTGAGCGTATGTGAACCATAGTATCCCGATAACGAACTGGCATCCGCTTCGTTATCGTATTCGTTGGAGAGGGTTTCCGCCCCACCAAGATACATGGGAGCCGCGGGACGTCCTGCTGCAGGACGTTCCGGAAATGGTGAGGGCGTACGAAGCTCACCACGCACTGCCGGCGCGAAGGTAGTGCGAGCGCTGTAGTCACCTGCAGCGCCCGAAGGCCCGCGCTCGTCGCGTTCCTCACGTGCCAGGAACTTGGTACGGAGATCCTTGACACTCGCAGGTACACGAACCGTCGTGTACCCGTTTAGGTCGCGATCGCTCAAGCGCGCTGCACCCGGAAGTCACAACGTGCACTGTTCGCCTTCGGACACAGCGCATGGAATACCAGCGTCCACAGAGGATCTGTGGAGCTGCTCCAGCCTCCCGCGCGTCGAGAATGTCTCGAAGCGCTCACGGGCATGCTTAACCCGCTCGCCGTAAGCTTCCGGCTTCTTGTTAAAGTTCTCAACAAAGGCATTCCAACTTTTACAAAGTGCCTGCCACTCAGGCACTTTGCTGCGGGAAGAGGTCTTCTTGCTGGAGAAGTACCGGAGCTCGTGGAAGAGCCCGATGTCGTAGTCGCGCCTTTGATTCGTTAACGGATCAAAGTGCTGCCCCTCCGCCACAGCACCGTCGTGGATGCCGCTGCATACGTACAGCGGGATTTCGTTTGGAGGCACGGTGTTGCCCACGCGGTCTGCGATCTCTGACGCAGACGGCGTCCACGGATCGCGCGCTGCTCAGGCAGCGCGCGGAGAACTTGAAGACGCCACATCACGCGGGGAGCTTAAAGCCTCAGCAGCGGAGAGCGAAGTTTCGCTCTCGCCGCGCGAACGCTTCGAGCTCGAAGCGTCCGAGTCGTCTCCTTCACGAGGGCGTCTCGACCCGGCGTGCGGGTCCAGACTATCGCTGTCGATAGACTCCTTGCGCCTGCTTGACGAGGATCCGCCCTCTTCCATCTCCACGTCGCCGTCCCCGTAGTCAACGGCGTCGTTGACTACTGAGGAACCTTCGAGGAAAATCTCCGGCTGGGTTGTCCCCGCCGCAGTCTTGGCAGCAAGAGCGTCACGCTTTGCTTGGTGACGCTCAAAGTACTCGGGGACAGAGAACCTCTCTGTCTCCGTGGAGGTCTTCTCCTCTGCTACAGCGGCGGTCTTCTCCTTCGGCGAGCTCATTTGCGGAATGAGCTCGAGTTTTCTTTCTCCCAACGCGACGAATGGACGAGTGGTCAATCTCCTGATTGACGTGCCGTGACTCGGCGCGTCTAACCTTGAGGGGGGATGGTGTAACAGGGTTACACGCACAAGTGGCTACAGTCACTTGTAACTCTAACAGACCCGGCGTCTGTTAGAGGTTCGAAAGACTTTCTCGACCTTGGTGTAGACACACCAAAGGCTACATACATTTACGATCACCACGACGGGTGGTCCATAGAGACTTAGGACTCCTATTGGTTGAAAGCAGCATATTGTAGCCAATGAGCGACATGCACAGGAAGGGAATTCTGCCAACCAGCCGTTGGCAGATTCCTAACTTAGAATATTACATTTAGAGGAAGTCAGAAAGCATAAAACAAAAATAGCAGTTCTCATTTTAACCCAAAAACATTATTTGGAGCGTTTATTTAGATTAATCTATACTCGGAGGCCCGAGTATAATTAACTCTAGTTTAAACTAAGCTACGCTTCCTCATACACGTGCGTACACGTGTAAGCTAAAGTAGTGAGCCAAAGTAGGTCCATTACAGTTTCCCATTTATTGGCGACGATAAGCGTGGGGTCGTGCACCTAACATCAATAGCATGTCCATGGGCGCTCCTCCAAAAGTGCGCTTCGGCGCCTGGGCTCAGCGGGTTGAACCCTAACAAATCACCATGACCATCATCCCCATGTGTCGTCAAAATGTGGTTGTATTATACACCGTGCACACACTGGACCATTATTGCGATGTTATACGGACTCCATGGCTTTCAGAGGGCCCATATCCTCTGTTAAACGTATTGCACTGCGGTGATCCATGCAGCCTAGTCGTTTGGGGGCCCCACCTTGAGTTACAGCTTCGTATGATAAAGTGGTGTGGTACACACTGTTCCACCTCATGTCCACTAGTTGTGTGGTGCACACTGTTCCACCTAATGTCCATGAGGTATGTATTGTTGGTGTGGTGCATAATAGATAGGAAGTCTGTATGGAAGTTGCTGCGGTGACGCCTAGCGAACGAAGGACTCGGTGTTGGAGGTTGTCACTTCACAATGTTGCTACTCGTGTACATGGCATATTGTCAGAGAAATTTCGTAGCGTTTGGACCATTCGTCTGGGTTTTCATATTGGGCAAGCCACCCCTTACTTGAAAGTTGTTATTTAATGGGTATCATCACACCTGGGTACAGGGGTCATGACCCGAGTCACTATCAGATTTGGGACCTAACTATGATACTTTTCTTTTTTTACCTGAACTCATTCGGGACAACACAGAAGGTCGCAATATGGGGAGGAAGTCTGGCATCTCGATCCGCTCCTATGCGGCAGCAACGGCAGCTTCGGGGCAGGGGCAGCAGGCTGATGACAGTGCGGTGCAGATGCAGATAGAAGCGAGCGAACGGGCTACCCTACAGGCAACTCTAGATACGCGTCCGATCAACACGAAGAGAAAGTATGAAACCTATCAGACTGAGTTTCAGAGTTGGTGCAGTGAAAAGCAGTTCTGCGATGGAGCTACAGCCACAAAAGGGAAGCTTCACCTTTTCCTGACGGAGCAGGTGGTAGGTCGAGAATCCAAGAAGAAGAAGGGCACGTTCGTTGGCGGTTCGACTGTTTGCGGCTATGTGAATGCAATCGTCGATCTCGACAACCAACAAGTCGCGCTGAAGATTAACTCGAATGCCCATCCCCGGTCTGCTCAAGTCAAGCAGCTGATAAAGAATGTACAAGCCCAAACAACGGAAACACGGAACAAGAACTACCAAGATCGTGGTGTTGGTTCGTTGCTCGATGGGTACCACTCTGAGGAGCAATTCCGACAGATTTGTGACACCTTTTTTCTTTTGGGCGATCTGCGTGGGCGGGCGGCGTTTCTGGTATCGCACTTTGGGTCGCTACGCGGGGAGAACGCACGTAACCTCGAGCTGGCCGACATGTTCTCTCAGGTGCTGGATGGAGAAGGATTTCAGACCTGTATCGCTCTGGTGATACTAATCCAGCACGGAAAGACAAACACGTACGGGAAGCTCCAGCACGTCGGCTATATTTGCAACAAAGATGTTCACGTATGCCCTGTTGGTGCAGTTGCGTTTTACCTATTCGAGCGCTTTCATATCGATTTGGAGCCCTTTCATCTCTTTCGTACAGCAAAAGATTGGTATGACGTCAAGTTTTTGCGTGGTCGCACTCGGACGAAGTCAATTTCGTACAACACCCACAAGAAAAGTTACGAGAGTGTGTTCAATCGTCTCGGATTAACTTTTAACAAGAAGACGCACATCAATAGACAGCAGGGCGTTCGGCAGCTTGAACGCTGCGATGTGGATAGCTCCCAAACTCGTAGACATGGCAGATGGGGGCAAGACACAATGGAGGGTGTATACTCAGCTTCGCTCGCACGGGAAGCAATGCGCGCCTTGTCAGGGCACCCCGCACGTTCGCGGCTGTACTATCTGGAGCGAGCCTGTGTGGATCCTCCCCAAGACCTGCAACGGAAGATTTTCCCTGATCTTGAAACATACAAGATGAAAATATTGGATGGAGACTGGGAACAAAATTTGGCAGCACGTAGATTTATCGAGTTGCTGGAGTACTTACGGATCGTCGTGCTTGAGGACGCTGCGTTCCTGTATGAGCTCCTGTCCACTACTGTTCAACAGCATGAAATCTTTGGTGAACAGTTCCAGCAATACCGCTCTGAGGCACTTGCCAGGGCCAAATCAACTGAGCACCCCGTGGAGATGCAACTTCAAGTTGCAATGCCTTTACTCGCGCAGCAACTAAATACACAGCACTCCACCGTCATGGATACGATGTCATCAGGTCACCGGCAACTAGTCAACTTGGTGGAACACTCGCAGCAGCAACTTACCTCGTTTCTCCAGGGCGAGGTTACTTTCCGGTTGCAACCTGTGCCGGACTCCTCAGGCAGACTCCACAGCCAGACGACAGTACGAGGTGGTGACGGAGTTGAACAATCAGCTGATACCCAACAGCAGCAACAACTGACCCCGCCTCTCGGCTCATCGGCTGTACCACAATACAGTATGAGTCGTCAAACATCAACGGTAAAAGAGCTGTGGGTTGAATGGCATGAAGGCTTGGCCAACCGACCTTCTATTGAATATCTAGAGTCGACATTTGGGACAAAATGGAGATCATCAGCGAAGGAAACGAAGTATTTCTCGAGACGGTTGTATGTCATCAAGTACGTACGCAAGTTGGTTGAGGGGGGGATGACAGCCGATGTAGCCATCGCCAAGGCTGACTCTGAACGGGGGAGTCGAAGCATAGATGGATTCTCGAAGTTACTGCGCAGCAAACAAGTTAATTAGTACCCTTCGTGTAGCATAACATCATACTAATAAAACAACTTCTTACCTGACAGGAGGCTTGAGTGTCTAAATTGAAGGGTCAATGGCTTCTCATCTTCTGGTGTCCATGTCACCGAATCCGATAATGCGTTGGTTAGCCTCCAATTAAAATTCACCGACATTAGAGGGCCTTTACACCCATCCACTTACATGCTGTGCTGCTGTGTTGCGCGCTGGGCCTGGTAAGTCGAAGTCCAGCGACTCGGGCTCAGGTAGGCTCAGCACCACAAGGTAGGTGTGCTCATACAAGAGTAGTTTGCTCTAGTGCACGTCCAGCCTCATGCTCGTGGATACATGCACACCTAGTGAGCTTGTCCTGCAGGTCGAGCGGAAGCGAGCCAAAGCTGCAGCAGCACCTGCACGAACACCTGCACGAAGTGCTATGTAAGCTTTCCCTCACATACAGCAACTGAAACGTGATGGGGCACGACGATCACCTTCTTGTGGGGCTGCCGCAGCCGCTTGGTGGCTATTGGCCACGCGTCGGCGCTCGTGATGTAGAGGACGGTCCCGCTAGCAAAGCAAAATGAGGTAGGTTAGATTCATCACCACGGCTACGAAGAGAGAGCCGAAAAGAGCATGCATGCACAGCAACTCACCGTCCATAACGGGCGTCGTACGCGGCGGCAGCGTCGCGGGGTCGACTGGTTCTGGAAAAGTTGTTGAGAAAACGCGAATGTTGAGCCAATAGGAACACAGCAATTAGGTCATGACCTGATTTTGGTATTTGCCAGGTAACACGGGGTTAATGTGGTGATACCTACGAATACCATGTGTCTAGGTCATGACCTAGTCGTGACTTGGCCGGTGATACTTGGAGGTACTGTTAAAAACAATACAACTTTGGGATTTACTCAATTATTATCCGTTGTCATCGTCCATGAAACTATTCGTCGACCTGTATACTCTCCCGGAGCAGCGCGCCGGGTTGCCTATATATAACACATAGGTCTTGTAAACGAATAGTACACCTCCGCAGTCTTATATTCGTTTATAGCACTCATGTCTAATATGCGGGGTAAGACGGTAGCAGGCTCTGTCTAGCTGGATGGGGGTGCCTATTGTACTCGTCATTACAGGTAGTCATTGGACCAACGTCCATACACAAATCCAATGAGGCAGCTGACTCGATTAGGCCTAACCCTATGCTGGTCTTTTCGACCAGTCGTTGCTCCTAACTGAGCTAAAAAGCGTATGGTTTTTAACCAATCAAAGGCGTTTTGGTTCGTGTCTGAGCGTCGACGCCGTCGCCCAGTGAGTCGCTCAGTGAGCGATGCCCTCTTTTCTCATGTGCTCCAACTGCAGTGATCTCGAGCGCAACCTGCTAGAAGAGCGCCACCACCGCCAGACGGCTGAGTATGCTCGTGATGCCGAGCTGCAGATGCGCGAGCGAGCGGACGATACTATCAAAGAGCTACGCAAGGCGATCAAGGAGCAGCGCAAGAACCTGAGACGATCAAGCAACTGCATGAGACGAACAAAGAGCTGCGCGATGCCATGAAAAAAGAGATCGAGGCCAACGAAGACCACCGCAAGACGATTGAGCACCAACAAGACCTTATCGACAAAGGGATCAAGTCCAATGAGATCCAGCAACGCATGATTCAGGACCTGCAACGCGAATTGCCGGCTCTTCGGCACCAGCTTAGACAGCAGCAAGTACAGAACCATAGTGATATGGACAATCTGCGTCTCGAGTTTAGAGCACAACGAGAAAAGGATCGTGCATTGGTCGAGTCCAATCTTCTGGCATTGAAGCGATATCACAACGAGACCGCGCGATGCCGACCAGAACTGAAGCTACTCGCGGTCTCTTCAAATCGACGGACAGCCTTGACGATAAACGAGGGATCCATCGAAGGAAAAATGCTAGAACGCGTTCGTGCGTTCAATGAAAACAGTCGCGCTGGTGCGAGAGCTGAAGAAGATAAGCGCGTGAAGACGGAGATCACATTCCACCACTCGAAGGAGAAAAATTTGAAGAGGACGATCTCACGCGGCAAGCGCACGCGCGAAATCTCGGTGAAAGCGTCGGACACGGTCGTCGTCCCCGGTGTGGTGGACGAAGCTCGTCTAAAAATCGACAACGCGCTCGATGCAGCGGGGCTGGTCAGTACATCTGTTCGTCAAGATATTTTCATTGAACTAATTATCTTCTTTGCCTAGGACAGCGTGACGAAGTCGCGATTCGATATCTCCGGCGCGGCATCAAGTACGACAAGCACGAAGGCGTTGACGAAATCGTGTTTGATAGCCTCGACGAAGTCGTCGCCAGTCACAGAGCGTCGTCGAGTGACAAGTACTGCAAAGCGTCGACGTACTTGCTCTTGAATGACGTGCTGGTGACCCCTGTGTGGCAGTTCGAAGTGGTATAACCAATCAAAGTTCACTTCTCGTGAGAGCAAAAACATGAGATGCTCGCGATGCAGCAGTAGTAGAGCACTGGTACACACCTCACCTCGGGCACCTCCTTGGTGTCCGGGATCAACTGCAACCTCCTGTCTCTTGCAGGAGCAATCTGACCCCTGCTAAGTTCAGAAGAAGTGTCGGCATCCAATATATTCAGCACAATGAGGAAATACTAGCACATGTAGTACTTTGCACCAACCTCGTGCTCAACCAGCACCTCCATTTGCTTATGAGGTCTGTCCAGATACTAAGCTTAACGGGAGAATCAGGGTGGGCTTCTCAACGGTCAAGTCTAGCACGACGCTAGCTTCGTCCTCGCGCAGTAGCAGCTGGGTGGCATTCATCAGCGCGTGACTCACCATCGCGCCAAGTACGCCTTCAAGCACAAAGTCCACCAGCTCCAAGACATGTTGATGGTAGTACACCACGGATCGGCTCGAATGCCAGGCGCAGAGAGGTCTTGTCGCTCGTCTTTGGGTAGCTCACAAACGCGAACGTCAGCTGCGCCTCTGGTTCCATCCCGGAGGCAACGCGACGTCGAGTTTCCTCCTCGTCCAGACCCAGCAACGGCGAATACAGCGGATGCTTCGACGTGCTCAAGTCCGTGCCCACGAAGTCCCCCACATGACCAGTAACCTCGAACGTGTCCTCGTCAGCAGAAATTTTGCCTTCCACATCGTAGCTCGTGTAATTGACACCGGCATTGCTGATGTCGAGACGCGCAAGCTGGCGATGAAGCTGGTCCTTGTTAAACGTCAGACTGAATTGTACCAGCGACGCGCGTATTATAACGAGCGGCTTTCCTCTAGAGCGCAGACTGGTTAACGCAGCAGCCTCCATCTCATGGTCACCACCGGGGGGGTGACTCCTTTGTAGATTCCTTCTCTGCTGGCAAACTTCGCGGCGGTGTGGCATCTTCAGACGGGAGATCATAGTCATGAGACTGAATTGCAGATGCGTACGCGGGTATGATGCGGTAGAACAGCGCCACAGACGACGGGTTCCATTGCAGATGCAGCACGTTCAACTGCACGTCTGCCTCCAGTTGCGATGCCTGGCCACTTTCTTGTACTCTCGGTACTCCATTATCCTGAGAAAACGCCGTGACGTCGATAGCGATCAGGTGTGGAGTCTCGCCTGCGTCGTCTTCACCGGTAGAAATGAGTTTGTAGTAGCGAGACTCGGGCGAATACAGTTTATCTTCCATCACAAGGGCCTTCAATCGTGCGTGGAAGTCCTGGAGGGCTGAGTACGCTTCCATCGAGAAGGACGTTTGCGAGGCCCGCAGGATAAATGCGTCCTTAGCAGCCGACTCCCGCAAGTTGAGCTCCACACATTCAAGCGACAGCTCCATCTCCAGCAGGAATTTCTTCTCGGATGTTATTAACGGGAACGACAGTGGCGTTGCTTGTACCTTCATCAATCGTGCTTTCGGAATCCGTCGCACTCTCTCCGTCGCCACTCTCATGATCTTGATCCTCGAAGTAGAACAGGAGCCTACCGTTATCCCGGGCAATGGTCGCGGCTTGTGCAACTATGGACGAGTGGATCTGGCCCAGCGCCACAAGCTGCTCCTCCACTAGGCATATCGAGATCTTGGGAACGGCAGCGTAGATGCCCAGTTGCGGCAGCGGCCTTGCCTCCACGTCTTTCCGTCCAGTACGTGAAGAAAGTCGTGAGCTAGCTGCGTGTGAAGTGAAAACTCAATCGACAGCTCCTTCACAATCTTGTTGACGCCGCGGAGTTCTTCGTCAGACCAGTCCACCAACTGCTCCTGCCGTCCGAGCAACACGTGAATCTGGGTCACGTCTAGCCGCCAATGCAGTCGACGGGGATCTTCTCCTGTCGTTTCCAGCCGTGTCGATAGCCGTAACCTTTATCAACCGTCATCCGGACAGGCTCCCTGCGGACGCGGACCTTCAGCGTGGCTTCCACGTCATCGTCACCCTGCCGTTGGGTCTGTAGCACCGCCCGACGACTCACGTCGATACTGACGCAGCACGTACCCGGGCCTTCACACGGCGATAGCGACGATGCCGGGCTACAGAACGAATGGAACCGAAAATCGTGTGCGAGCCCGTTAAAGATGTCGAAGTGCTGCACTTGGAAGCTCGTTTTCCGGCTGAATGTTCACAGCCAGCGAGCCATTGAACATTACAGTCACGAACAAACTCTCGTGTGTATTGGATTGAAACAGCCATTTGTCAGCTGAAACTGCACGGACACCGGGTTGCACCCCATCGGCACTTCGTGTGCGTTGCTAGCCTTCTCCACAGCGTTATTGTAAGCCTCGCGTAGATTTTCCCAGCCCTCGGCAGACAATACGTGCTCCTCCGCTGCTTCACTTGACGCGGGAGCAGATTCACTTTCGCCGACGACGAAATACGAGTACCACGAGCCACCTCCGCCTTGAGTCGCCTGTGTTTTAGCGTGTTCTTTGGCCGAAGCTTCCACTTCCTCCTTCGCACGCTTCTCGGCGGCTTCGGCAACGTCGCGTAACAGCAGCACCACATCCAGCGGGTAGATTTCTTCATATCGCTGCTTGAACTTGCCCTGCCTCGTCGAGGGGTCCAATGGTGAATCGTTGCGCAGCTCCGTCCTGAAAGCCTCGACGTACAATTTTTGCTCCAGCAGCGCCTTCTGTACTGACGACCAGCGCATTTGGCGGTGATGTGGGCGTGGGGGATCAGATGCACGTCCCGCAGCGTCACCTGCAGGTTGGCCACGATGCGGGCCGTGAGTCTCGAGACGAAGGTGCCCTCGTCCTCCTCGGGCTTCTGCTGCTCGTGCTGCTCCTGACCTGGGCCAACGCGCGCGGCGAAGCGGCGGTGCTGGCGCAGCAGCTCCAGCTGATTCTTCTCGGCCGCGCTGCGCGGCTCCGTGTTGGGCACCACGAGCGCCAACACGCCCTCGAGAGTGATGGCCATGCTCGCGCTGCCCAACTGGTTCCAGGGCAGGCGCACCAGCACGCGGCCCACGCTGCCGCTGGTCACGGCTACGGGCAGCTGCAGCTCGGCCAGCGAATGCGGCTTTAGTGACAGGTCGCGCAGCTCCAGCTCGCCACTCCACAGCCCCACGACCAGCGAGTCGCTGCGCAGGCCGGCCACATACTTGCCCAGCTGCGCCTCCAGGATCGACGAGATGATGGCCTTGGCCATGGCTGCGGGCGGCATCGATAGCGGCGGCAAGGGCCGCTGTGGCCCGATGGTAGTGTACAGGATCCGCGTAATCAGATTGCAGCCATGTTCCGTGAAAATAGGTGCGAGCGAAATAGTGGTTTAACATCAGCACGTCGTACGAGACCTTGACTAGAGCGGTCTGCTCGGTCGTGAAGCGAGGCAAACGCTCACCGACTCGCTCGCGCATGACGGGCGGGTAGTCGCCGGAGGTGAGGGGCAGCAGCTACCAGCCAAACTTGAAGTTCATCGCGCGCTCCGCAGCTTCTGCATCTTCAATGTTGTTCTCCCGAAGAGGGTAGAACTGATTGGCATTGAGTACGATACCCATGCGCTTTAGGCTGGACAACACCACTCGATTGAGCTCCCTGAACCGTTGCACGGAGTACGCGTGTGACAGGAGCACATTGTGCGCCACCTCGTAGACCAGCGTGGGCGAGTCGTGGAATCCTGGCGGGTGCAGACCCGTGTTGTAGCCGTACACGACGAAGGAAGTGGCTCGTTGAAGGTGGTCCAGAAGATGACCTTGTCACCGAATTCGTTGTACGTCGAGTACTCCACGAAGTGGTCGATGATCTCCGGGTTGAGCCATCCCTGAGGGGTGAGCTTGTTGTGCAGCTTCGTGGGCAGGTCCCAGTGGTAAATGGTAAAAATCGGCGAGATGCCGCTCTCAACCAACCTGTCAAGCAACGCGTGGTAGAAGACGAGACCGGGGGCGTGGGCGCATGCGTCGCGCTTCCGGGTCCCAGTTCATTATGCGCGACCACGAGACGGAGAAGCGGAAGGACTGGAGTCCCGTCTCCCCAATGAGCTTGATGTCGTCCGCATAGCGGTGGTAGAAGTCGTCGACGTTGGCGCACTCGAAGCCAGGCTGTTCACGACAAAAGTCGTCCCAAATGCTCGGAGTGCGGCCGTCCTCGTTCCACGCGCCCTCCACCTGGTACGACGCGGTGGCCGACCCGAAGAGGAAATCAGCAGGGAAGCAGCGAGGCTCGGCGGCCGCTGCAGGGGAAGAGAGCAGGGTGACGGTCGCCGCCGCCGCGAGTCCGAGACGGTGCAGCAGCCACATCACTTGAGCTGTGAGTTCGAGGCGGCAACTTCACGAATGAGGCAGGAGCGGATTCGCAAGATCTCGACGAAAGCGTTGGCGCTACTGTAGGGCTGTTTCGTGCAGTGCTCGAAAGTGCACGAAAGTACTTCGGCGCCATTGCTGCCACGAGCACTTACCGGTACTGTGTGCTTGTGGCACATAATATGTCGAACAACATACTAGCTTACCCGGGCGACAAGCGTCCCGGGGGAGGTCGCAGTTCGTAAGGCTAGAAATCTTCATCAAGATCGGGTGATATGTAAGAGCATTAAAAGCGTGTCGTGTGTGCAGTTTGTTAGGTCTTAGTACACTTTAAGCAAAGCATTTTATAGTTTTTATCATCCTCCGCAACGATCCTTTCTGGAATATGCCAAGGAATCCAACGCCGTACGGCTCCGTGCACCGCGGCTCGTGGACCAAGGGCGCGGCAGCAGCACCAAGGTCGTGGTCAAGTGCCTGCTAGTAGACGACGCCGAGGTGGACGTCTGAAGAGCTCAAGCTCTACGGCGCGTGCCACGTGAGCTCGCCCGCCTTCTTCATGTGCGACGACGCCACGCACGGCAGCTTCAGCGACTTCCTGGAGGAAGACGCGGGGCGCGCAGCGCTGGGGCTCGGCTACCTGCACGCGGAGAAGGTGGTGCACGGCGACCTCAAGTGCACCAACCTCCTCGTGGGCAACGACTACAAGGCCAAGCTCTGCGACTTTGGCTTCTCGTACGTGCGCAGCCAGTCGGTGGGGCTCAGCGCCAAGTCACAGACCTAGGCCATCCGCTGGAAGGCGCCCGAGTGTCTGGTGCCGCCCAATGAGGAGGCCAATCCGCAGTTCAACCCGCGCTTCGCCTCGGACGTCTACTCGCTCGGCATGTGCATCGTGGAGGCTTTCCAGGGCGAGGCGCCGTACGGACTCCTGGACGACGACGAGATCATGACGAGGCTGTTTGAACTCGAGCCGTACCCGCGTCCAGGCAACATGCAGGACGACGAGTGGGCGCTGGTGGAGCGCATGGTGCAGCCGGACTGGAGGAAGCGTCTCTCGCTGCAGGACGCGATTGACGGGCTCAAGGTGTTTGCAGACAGAGGGAGAGAGCTATCGGTAGCAAGCGTATTGTGAGGCGAGGATGCCCGTCAAAGTTCGCCTTCTGCGGCGATTGCGGCACAGCAATGGCGAGGCAGGGAAGTGCAGCCCAACATCAGAAGAACGCGTGTCCAAGTTGCGAAAACATGCCCTTGACAGACCGCTTTCGCCGGCACTGCGGCTATCGCCTGGACGCAGATCCAGCATTCGCGTGAGAATATGCTGCAAGAAGCAGCTTGTACGAGACACAGCGCATCAAGACCGAAGCTATTGATCGTGATTCATGTTGACACGGCTGACGTGGTGCGGATACCCCGAGGCGGTACCCATTCGCGTGCTGATTTTTCAGAAATAAGTTCGGAGATCGACCTGGGCACGTTTGGTGCTTGGATTTCGCTACAGTCTGGTACATGTAAGCAGGCCAACAAGGGGTTCATACGGAGACTCACGAGCAATCGCAAGGTCGTGGAGGGGATCCTGGAGTTCCTCTTGCGCATGGACGATCTCTTCAAGCTACTAAACTTGACCCACGTCGCGGAGATGTCCAAGTGGAAGCACGTGGGAGGAGGACAAGAAGCTCGCCATTCAGGAGAGACATCCTGGCCAACAACCAGGCGATGAAGGAGGAGATCCACAGAACGGGGAACAAGATCAAAGAGGGAATTGCTCAGCTTGTGGTGGTGCTGCGGTGCACTCATGGTGAAGCTGGACCCGAAGTGGGGCTGCTGGCCAAGACTTTCAACAAGGTGATGTCTCTGTCCAAGGCAAAGGTGCCGGTGGTTCTCTCGTGGTTTATCCCAGCGACGATGTGGATTTTGATCTTCAAGAATGCTTCGACTTAGGCTCCTACGGCTCCGTCCACCACGGCACATGGGGGAAGGGGACGAACGTGGTGATCAAGTGCCTCTTAGCGGAGGACCAGGACGAGAAGGCGAGCGACTCGTTCTACACGGAGGTGGAGGTCTGATACAAGCTGAACAATCTACACATCGTCCGTCTATTCGGAGCCTGCCACCTGAGCAAGCCAGCGTTCATCGTGTACTTCGCCAACTACTTTGGGAAGGACAAGAGCGAGTTGCGTTTTCCACGAGGCTGCGCTTGGGCTGTTCTTCCTCCACTCGCAAAAGGTAGTGCACGGCGACCTCAAGTGCAGCAACATCGTGATTGGAGCCGACAGGAGAGCCAAGCTGTGCGACTTCGGCTTTTCGTTCATCAGGGCTCAGTCGGTGGGGCTAAGTGCCAAACCCCAGACAGACGCTATTCGGTGGTAGGCGCCTGAGTAGTGGATGAAAGTCCGAACTCGGTGTTCAATCCACGGTTCGCATCCGACGTGAACTCGTTCGGCATGTGCATCGTTGAGGCTTTCCTGGGACATCCGCCGTACGAATTGGAAGCCGAAACGGTGATGGAGAGGAAATTGAATAATGAGGTGTACCCCCGCGTGGTCGGCATGTCCGATAAGGAGTGGACTTTCGTGGAGCGGCTCCTCGATCCAGACTGGGAGACGCGCATGTCCCTAGCGGATGCGATCGACACGCTGATGATGTTTGCGGACTGAGAACGAGCACCGACAATGCCCGGAAGGCTTAAACGTGGATATGATCAATGTTGGCAACCAAGAAGCGTCTATCGTAGTTGAGACTGCTACCATGTGGGTATGTTTCTACTGTACAGCGTGTATGCCGGTTGAGTTCAACTTTTGCGGTAATTGCAGCGAGCCCACATCTTCACACGCAGCTGCGGTGGTAACGAAGCGGTCATATGGAAGCTGTAATGGGGATGTTTTGTCGACAGATCACTTCTGCCGTCATTGCGGACGTGATCTGAGCGACGTCGAAGGACGCACGGATTAAGACTTAGATTATTGATGATAATGAACTGCGTTATGCGCCGCGGACTGAGCTCTCAAAATTTCATCCCGGCATATCCACTTGTCAACTGAGTGCGGTTCATCCGTTTCTTCTCGCTGGAAACCCGTCCGTTGGCGTCCGTTATTCCGTTTGAGCTCGGCAGTTTCTGTCTTGTTGCCTTTTGCGCGTGGTGGGTGGCGGCTCGACTCGACTTCGACTGTTCTCCACTCTTCTGCAGTCGTCACCCGCGCCGCTCTTTTGATTCCTCTCCTCGACTCGCTCCGATGGGCAAGAAGCGGACTTCGGGGTCGACGCCCACCTTCAGCTCGTTCAGCGTCGTCTCCAACTGTGAGGTACCAGCGGTACCAGCGCCACCAAGCAGTGCTCCGCAGCGCGGAAAGACGGCACGCGGTCGCAGGCGAAGCTCGCCAGCACAGAAACCGCTGCGACTGTGGGAGGTCACTACCTCTCGTTGCCCCGCGCGGCAGTAGTTAGCAACTGACAGATGCAGCACATTAGCAGCTTCAGCAGCAGCAACAGCACCTACCAGCATAGCAAAGCATAGGTCGGTTAGGAAACTCCTTCAACACGAGCAAGGGTCCCAAGGTGGCGGCGCCGAGCTGCTGCGCACTCGGCACTCACTTCCGCATTCTCCAGCAGGAGCACAACCAGCTCCGCCGCCTTGGTTGTTCCCGCCACGGCATTCTGCCAAGGCAACCTCAGTCTCCTACCTTCCGTTCGTCTTCTGCCCGCACCTTCGTGCTGAGATCACAGACAGCAAGTACACGACTTTCAGCACCTCTCACCAACCAACAGGATGAGTCTCCGTGGGCTTCGGACGAGCAGCAGCGGTTCCTGCTGGCGCTGGAGCAGTTCGGAGGCGGCCAATGCTCCAGCGTCACGCAGGCGTGGCAGTCCATCACAACGGCAGTCGGCACTCGGGACATCGCGCAGACGTGTACCACGCGCGTCTGTACAGCGGCTCCAGAAAGTCACCGCCCACATAGTATACAGCTAATATATTTGGCAACTGTTCACGAACTAGATCATATTTTCCTGCCGGAGAAACACGCAAAAGGATAAACTACAAGTGAAGGTCAATGAATAGGAAAAACGTAACATTGCTGTATTTTTATCAGGAAAAATCTGGCACAAATTACAAAACACGGTGACAAAAAATCACCGCCCACCTCGTTCCCATACAAAAATCAAGTCACAAATCAGTACTTCGTGTGAGCCCCCTTGCTGGCGATGACAGCGTCCAGGCGAGCCGGCATGGAAAGCACGCACTTGCGAATGACATCGTCGTCGATACTCGTCCATATCTCAAGGAGCTTTACCTTGAGGTCCTCAATAGAGGTTGCTGGCTGGCGATTCAGCTCCCGCTTCATGATCGCCCACACGTTCTCAATTGGGTTGAGATCGGGGCTCTGGGCGGGGCCCGCCCCTCTCTCGCTTCGCGGCCTGCCCCACCCCCTCGTGCCTTACTCGACTCGGCCAGGCGCGGTGTCTAGAAAAAAAAAAATCGGGTTGCAGCGCTCGCGTCCGCTCGCTCGCACAGACACGCCCCCGCCTAATCGGCGGGTGTTGATGATCGGTGAATGCCTTGAGTGAGCCTCGCGCTCGCATCCGCTCGCCCTCGTCTGTATTGAGCAGTTCGTAGGCACTTGCAACATCATGGAAGTCAGGCGTGTATTATACTTGCTCTAAGTATCCGGTAGTCTGGACCAAAATATTTTGGTCCAAGCAAAATATATAATTACTGTGACTTTGTGATGAGTATTTTTTGGATCAGCCTATTTGATCCGAAACTATCGGTAAATTACGGCGATATATTCGGATCCCTGATCCAGTTCAATTCGGTATTAGACCCCATATGGATTCTACCAAGGCACTGTACCTGGTCATCGACTCTGGCGCCATCATCAAGGGCACCAACCTGGCGGTGCTGGCCGAGGTACGACGCGCTGCAATTGCACTACAGTGCTGGGCTTGAATTGCTGCTAAAAAGTCACGATTTATGTCATTGTGCAGAACTTCTGGACCGTGCCCGATAATGCAGAACGTAATGATGTAATAAATGTCTACCTGGTAAGCGTTGTCTACGAAAGTCTTTGCTCTGGGGCGCCGGACTGGCGAGGGCCCGCGCTGCAAGTTGTTGCAGCCTGCAACCGATGCTCCGTGCCGTGAATTCTGAGAATACTACCACGCCGTGGGCACGCCGCGCGCCGTCGTGGACGCCGGCTTCACCAAGAAGCTCGTCGTGCAGTACGGCAGCGTCATCCCGCCGTCGGCCAAAGCCTTCGTCAAGATCCAGCGGGCCGTCGTGGCGCGCATCGTGTCCGGCGCCAACGAGGTCGAGTACGCGCCCATCCACGAGGACGGCGACCTGCTGGCGGGCAAGAGCCTGAGCTACGACTACCTGGTGGTGGCCACGGGCAGCACGTACACGGTGCCCATCAAGCAGTCGGCCAACAACTTCAAGCCCTCAACCACGGAGGCCAAGCTGGCCAAGATGCGCGAGCAGGTCAAGGCCGCCAGCAGCGCGCTCATCGTGGGCGGCGGCGCCGTGGGCGTCGAGGTGGCCGGCGAGATCAAGGCCAAGTACCCGAGCAAGACCGTGACCATCCTCGAGGGCAAGGACAAGCTGGTCGCGAGCTACGACGTGCGCGACAAGTTCGGCACCAAGATGTCCACGTACCTCAAGCGTAGGGCGTCAAGGTGGTGCTGGGCGAGCGCCTGACGGAGCGCCTCAACGTAAACTCCTTCGAGAAGCGCACGCTGCGCACGGACAAGGGCACGGAGATCGAATCTGACATCCAGCTGCTATGCGGCGGCTTTCGCCCCACGAGCGAGCTCATTCAGAAGCTTGACGCCAGTCTGATCACGCCCGAGGGCTTCATCAAGGTCAACAGCAAGCTGCAGCTGGACAGCGCGCAGTACTCCAACATCTACGCGCTGGGCGACGCGAGCAACAGCCCCGCGCCCAAGCGCATGTTCTACGCCGGCCTGCAGGGCAAGCACCTGGGCCCCGAGCTGGCGCTGGTGGCGCGCAAGACACAAACCAACGTGAGCAAGCCGTTCCCCAAGGTGGAGGTGGTGGGCACGATGCTGCCGCTGGGCCCGAACGGCGGCGTCTCGCAGCTGCCCGTCATGGGCAGCGTGATCATGGTCATCACCAAGTCATCAAGTCCAAGGACTACTTCGCCGGCATGGCCTGGAAGAGTATGGGCGCCGTCGTCCCTAACCAAGCGGCTAGTGAGTGTATATATATACCGACGCTGGTCTAGGATCTGAGTGCTCTTTATCAAAGAATTTATGCGGTTTTCCTCAACTCTATCCTACATGTAATTGATCAAGAGTGTCAAGAAAGCGATTCCTGAGCGGATTTACAAAAGAAGACATCGTCGTCCTGGTCGGCCTCAGCGGCGATGTTCAGACGGCCGCGATTATTGATAATGGTAGTACCTATCCGAATGGATCAAAGTCGCCGAATTACCTTTGTCCATGCCCGAGACTTGAAAATGGGTCGAGTGCATGTGGAACGGGTGGTTCGGCAATCACTTGACTACTTCAACCGGCGATCACGCTGGAGCTTCCAGCATCCAGGTCACGCGACCATATCAACGGCTTCCTGTAGTCCTTGACCGAGAGCTCCCATTGTTGCATCTCATTCACGGGCACGAGTAGTTGATATGTGAAGGATCCAGCTTTTCGTGGTTAACGCCGTACGTGATCCCCTTCTCCATCCATACTGAGAATTCGAAGTTGTACGAGTTACCTTTCTCGATAAACGGAGGGTCGTTTTCATCTCCGATCGGGTCTTGTATGTACGCGGGTCGTTTAGGCAGCCGGTACGGAAGGCGGCGCTTGACTTGTAGAATCTTCATCTTCAGGCTCCTTGGTAACCTTGAGCTTCACAATACGTTGACTAGGCACTCAGTGCTGGTTCTCAAGACCCAGAAACTTGTTGCGAGAGCTAGCGCAGTCCGTCTCGATGTAAAACGAGGTAAAATTTTCCGATCTCAGCGCACATGATAGCCACATTAGCGCCAGATCAAGAGTGTGTCCTCTAGCTTGATCGTTTGTCGATGGCTTGTATGTCTTGTCTGGCAGAGGTTTCTGCTGGCAGATGGCGTATCGGGATTCGTCGTGCCTTTCTTCATTCAGAAAAAATAATTATCCACTTCGTTGCACAGTGGACTAATTTAACATTACTCTTGACTCTGGTCGAGTATTTTCGTCGTGGGCTAGTGCGGTGAGAGCACTTGATTCCACATACACGCAGCGAATTTGCGTACAACTCGACACTTTGTACTTACTTCGAAGTAAGTTGCTAACGATTCACACACAATGGCCGCTCATTCGCGTCGTCCGCGAGGTCTTTCAGCGAACCACGTGAATGCGGAGGCGTCTTCAGATGATCATGCACGCCAAGTCCACTCTGTCATCAGTGCGTCTGCTGGGCAAGGAGAACTGGGTCAAGATGGAGAAGCGCCCCAACTGCTTCTACAGCGCGCGCAAGTTCCGACCGTTCTCCATCAAGCGTCATTGTCGCTCCTGCGGCGAAATCGTCTGCTCCAACTGCTACCGGCGGAGAAGGGTGAGCGTGACCTCGACTCTGGAAGTCACGGGATCGGATTGAACATGCCGCAGCTCGTTTCTGCGATAACTTAGCGACAGTCGCAGGTGCTGTCGTCTACAGCTGCAGTATCAACGGAGCCGACGAGTGGGAGCCAAGTATTGAACGTTGACCACTTACTGAAGTCGGTGCTGGGTAAGTTGAGGTCAGGCCTCGGAAAAAATAATTATAATATAATAATTATTGTATTATGTTGACGGAATAACTGATTATTGGATTTTCCGGGATTCCGTAAAATATGATATTGTACCAATAATAAGTATATTGAGTTTTCACCAGATTTCAGTCGTTAAGATACTAAAGTTCCCGCTTAAAACCCATTTTTACGCCCCAAATATTAGTTTTACAGTTCAGTATTGCCCCAATAATACACAATAATAATTTAATTATTATTACGGGAACCTCAAGAAATGGGATAACGGATTATTTTTTCTTAGATTCCCAATTCAATTTTATATTTTATTTTCCGAGTCCTCAACTTGAGGTCAAGTTCAATCAGCGGCAATATCTTTGAAATCGCCTCCGACTGAACTTGACCCGCGAAGCACAACCAAAATCACGCCCAAAGGCGAAAGCATGCGTACGATTCTTCTGATAAATGGCCACCAGGCGCGCTTTGGGCTTGTAAGTTTTTATAAGCAATGCTGACCCTAAGGCTTATACTAATTTAGCATTCCTACTCTGTAGTCCACCTTAGAGAGCATGATTATACTACGACTGGAGCTCTCAAGCCTTGCTGACATTCCTGTTGAAGGCCAGTTTGAAGGTACGACCCGCATCGATTCTAGCTGCCTGTGACATCTATTCTAACTAAGCAGCGCAGAGATGCACTATTTCGGAGTTGGCAGTGATAGTACTCTTCGCCAAATTCGTCGACTGCGAATCGCGTTTCCGAGCGGACCTCAGGTAAGCACTTTATACATATGCACTGTATTTCAGGTTTACTAATGTATGACATTGCTTACATCATAGTCGCTCAGTCGGACATTCGGTCGTCGGATGCGCGTCGACCGTCGGAACGAAGCACCAACTCCTTCATTTGCCTCGTCATCAGTCTCTCTTCCTGCTCCCACTGAGCGAGGAATTTCTTCTACCGGATCACCGTTCGCAATGACAGCATCAACAGGATGATCATCCGAGTCACTCCAGTCTGGGTCATTATCCACAACAGCTGAGTCACTGAGAGCTAGCGAGTCTCTTGAAGACGCAGAGCCACTGAGACAGCCCTCCACCGTTCTCAAAAGGTGCAGAACAACTGCGATGAGGCAGGTTCAACTGCGATGAGGCAGGTTCTCTCCACCTTCTGCACCGCCGTCTCCATCAGTGTCCTCATGCTGTGGCACATGATCCACTTCTCGTAGTCCACGCGCACGTGACGACCGAGCTACAGTTTCACCTGCACCCGTCGGATTCGCGCTCCACGTGCTGCCTGCAGGAGAGCTAGCCAACGCCGGCCCACCCACAGCAAACGGAGCTTCAACTACAGTACTGACTTGCCCTCGTAAGTCCTCACTGCAACGCCGTTTATCGCGATGTTCATCACTGTGTTCTCTTTCAGGCTCTCCGAGAAGTCTTCGAGCTGGACTGGGGGACGTCAAGTCATCTAGCCGAACAAAAGGAATTCGGGACGGAAGCTGATACTTGCCGCGCTTGTATCGATTGAGCAGGAGTTTTTCAACATAACTGTACTCCACAGTCCAGTTCTCAGCAAATTGAACTGTCCTAAGTTTCTTCACCTTTCCAGTCTTCAAATCAAGAACACGGTAGCTCATCGACTCCTTGCCGTACCCGGGGAAGAGTCCAGGCTGTCCAGTATTCTCTAATTTGTTCTTCCTTAGGACTTTTGCAGTGAAGGTGTAGACCAAACAACCCCACAGGTCCGGCCGCTCTCCGAAGCGCCGAGTGTATGGTGTTTCTCCGTCAAGTGCAGCGCTTGGATTAATATTGAGCACCTCCACCGCAAAATCAAACGCTTCTCCCCAGAGCAGGTTAGGTAGATTCACCGTTGTCAACAAGCTCCGCACACGGGACAGCACCACCCCATGCATGCGCTCAACGAGTCCATTTTCCTCCGGACTGTATGAGTTGGTCTTTGCCAGCGCAATTCCATTCGTTCTCAAGAAGGCCTTAAACCGGTTACTGATTAGTTCGCCTCCTCCGTCCGAGCCAAAAGCTTCAACTCGATGCCCTCGTGCGAGTATCCAAGCCACATGTTTCATCACAACATCGGCAGCTTCCTCCTTTCGCTTCCGAAGAAAGCCCCACACGTAACGAGTCGCTTCATCCAGCACAAGCTGAAAATGTAAATAACCATTGTAGGTAGACTCGTTAAGGAAGCATTCATCAGACATGAGCTTCTGATACGGCTCCCGCGCTCTATCAGTGGTCACCTGCTTGTACGGCATTCGACGCATCTTGGCTTGCACACACGTCCAGCACTGCTCTTCGGGCGCGCGCACACTCCCACTCAACTCCAAGCCATCCACAGTGCCTTCTCGGACCATTCGCTGTAAAGCAGCAAAGTTGAGATGGCCGAGACGGGCGTGCCACCGTACCAAAGCTCGCTCCTTGTCCGGTTTGCTTTGCTCGACTGCCTCTACTTGCTTTGTAGGACATACCGTCGACTGCAAGCGATATCGTCCGCGAGTCTTCATCAGTCTCAGCAGCACTCTACCCTTACGAAGCCACGCACACTTCTGTTTCTTCAGCTTGACGAAGTCCCATCCGTCCTTCTCAAGTTTATCCAGACTCAGTAAATTGTTTGTGCCGCTAGCTGTGTAGAGCACACTACCCAGACCAAACGAAACAGGAATATCAGGCTGATTCTCGTTCTTCACTCGAACATTTACTTCTCCAATCAACCCTCTGCTCTTGGACGGCTTGCCTTCCCAATCAAACACCATAGGTCCATCATCTTGGCGTAGATCGGTAAGCATGTCCTTATTGGTACAGACGTGGCAGTCACTCGCTGAGTCCAAGATCCACTCAACTCCACCATCGAGAGAACTCTGCGTTGCCGTAGGCGCCGAACTATCATCACAACGAGAAAGCATATTCACATCACGCTTCTCGCTGTTTTTCCCAGCTTTCTTATGTTGCCAGCGTTTCCGCTCTGGGAGCTGCGAATCAGACTCATCGTCATCGCGTTTGGGATTCGGACAATTTGTCTGGATGTGGCCAACTTGATGGCAATTCTAGCACTCACGTTTGTCCTCACCACCAGTCTTCTTTCCAACTTGCTTCGGATTACCACTCTTAGCCTTATATCTACCTCGACCACGCTTCTTGCCTTTTCCTTGCGGCTGCTGGCCTTGCTTCTTGCCAGCCTGCGCGGAAGAGATATCACGGCCTTGCTGTGGATCATCCATCCTGGCGTCGAGTTCCGACTCTGCTCTCAATGCATTCATCACTTGAGCCGACGACGGAGTCGATCGCTGGTAACCAGGGTCAAAGTGTTTGGAGAACTGTCGAACAACGTCGCGATGTGTCTGCACCACGTTACCAAGGAGAATCTCGGCGAATTCCTCGTCAGAAACCCCTCTTCGATAGTGCAGTAGCTCATTACGATAGAGCTGCATCTCACGAAGCCAGTCATTCATGTTCCTCCCTGGCGTGTACGCGTTCGCAATCAACCTTTGTCGAGCGAAGATGTAATTTGCATACTCGCGTTTGGTCTGCTTATCGACAAATACAGTCCACATATCTTGCGCGCTCTGCTGATGGTATATCAACTCAGCATCGGCCTTAGGAACGCCTCGCAATAGTGCACCACGAGCCAAATTATTCATTCGACGAAATTGCTCCTCGCTTACAGCTGCACGAACCGCTGACGCATTCTCCACAACACCCCAAATGTCCATGTTGGTCAAGAAAGTTTTCAGCTCCTCTGCATACAAGTCAAAACTTCCCGACATTGCAGGCGGTTTATTCTCCATTTTCATTCCATACCAGCCACTACTAGCGAAATGAGGAGTCATCATAGGAGCTGCATGTACACTAGCACCCTCCAGAGACGATGCAAATGCAGGCGAACCCAGCGACGGCAGCGACGGGACTGTACCCCACGGCGAGGCCGCAAAGCTCGATGCAGTCGAAGCCGCAGGCGCTACAGCTGCCACTCCAGCCCCAGTCGCCCCCGCAAAACCACCTCCAGTTGTCCCCAAGAACGTAAACCCTCCAGTCAGCGTGCCAGCACTTCCACTCGAGCCAGCAGAGATCAAACTTGGGACAGATGTAGTCACACTCACCCCAACACTCGGTCCAGTAGCTGCAGGAGTCACCACAGTCGCCGGAGGAGCGATTCCAATCGATCCAGCTACTGATCTCACCGCAAACCCGACGAAATAGCACTAGTTTGGCCGCCAGCAGCCACAGTTGGCGTGCCGCCACCAGACGACGATCCACTTGGTCCAGACATCTCTCCGAGCTACACGAGAACTGCTCGCAAAGCCCCAGAGCGTTGGGCTCATAACCTGGCACGATGAGCAGGCGAGTGTTGGTAGGAGGAAGAGCTTAGTGAGCAGGAAGACGACGCTAGGAACACACGTGCTTCCCACTGAACAACTTTGGGATTGAGGAGGGAAAACCTCGAAGGTGCCAACCCCCCCTCTGTGTTAGCTGCAAACTACTATACGCCAACGGGCTCAAGGAGTCACATCCCGTATACTCACAACCAAAGGCAACCTTGGGTGTCCCAGGTGTATACTGTATAGTCAGGCACGCTGGGGCGGAGCCAGTCACTACCTTCTTCACAAAAGATACTTAAAGTAAAGCAGGTCGGTACTATCGCCGCTGGTGGAATGCCTTATCGCCAGAAGAAAGAGGCGTATACTTTAACGCGCATGACGACCCAACATTTCCTCTGGACGAGTCCCACCAAGGAATCTACGACGAGCGGAAGGACCGGGTCCCAGCAACTGTCCCTGTGACGTAGCCTCAATTGGTATCCAGCTACTGCTTCCCAAAAGACCACACCCAGATCGCCACGGTAGATAGAGCTCTACTGAGCAAGATCGCTCGGTACAAGGAACCTCATGCGATCCGTAGGCGAGGCTGCAGCAGCGCGCAGTATCGGGTGTAGTTAGCCGACTAAACCGCAATAAATTTAAATTTAAATCGGTACAAGGAAGCTAGTACTAGCTACGTCGCTGCACTTCGTACGAGCGAGCTGTTTCGCATCGCCCAAACATGTAAGGCGTCGGATGTGGTCAAGCATACGTTAAGATCGGTCTCAATGATCCTGGGCTGCCTAATAAACGACGTAGGTTGGCAGGTGCCCGGAGACAGTCGGAGCTCGGTTGTTGGTGCGATTCAAAAGGCGGCTACAGCGATCGAAGCTGTAACAACTGATGCCTTGTTGTCATCGGAGGATGATGTGTACGACATGATGGACAAGTGTCGCGAGTGCGAGGCAAACGCTTGGCACAATTGCAGCAGATCTCGAAGTCTAAAGCTTCTCTGAAATTTACTTGACGCGGGACAAGCATCCAGGTAAAATGCAACAGTTTTCAGCGTTAGGGTGGCTCGAAGTGGAGGACGCCATCTTATATGTGTCTGCCAACACGCCGGGAGATGGTAGCGAGGAAGTCGAAGCTGGCGATAGTGCTATCCACTCGACCAAGAAAAGCAGTACAAAACGCCGTCGAGCTCGGAGTAAATCTAGCAGCTAGAGTCCATTAAGACAACTAGGCACCCCGTTCGATCTAACAAATAATAGACAGAACCTCCGGCGTGTTGACGTCGAGTTGAGGACGCTCTAAAGGATGGCCAAGACGGTTCACACACCCGTGGTGCTCATTTGTGCTAGGCGAGTTTTCTGTCACTGTCAGCGACTCACTAAGCAGGGGTCACATGTCAGTTTCAAGTCCATATTCACGAAAGAGAGGGAAGGGCCTGAACGCGTACGGTGCATGTATTATGTTATGTTATGTATTACGTTTTCGCGTTGCCACACTATGCTGGTGCATGTATTGCGTTTGCTAATAAGGAATAAGACTCACGATGTATTATGCTAGATTAACGTGCAAGATGGCAATGGACGCCGCCCAAAACTACCCTAAGGGGTGTCATACTCAATCTCTAATTTTTTCTCTAAATATCAAAGCTGCACAGGTACTGTATGTCGAAGGTTCGTGATATATGCCAGGATTTAAAGAAGGTTGCTTGTTGAGGGTCGATGTGGTACCTTCTGGATAAGCTCAAACAAAAACAAAGCTAAAACTACTAAAGTTGCCAAATCAGAGGCCGCATACCTTGAAGTACCGCCGAGTTTATTGAGACCACATTTAGGTCTCACCAGATGTGAGGTGGGGATATGCTAGGTCTATCAACTCTCGCAGGACTTGACATATAGACCGATAGGGTGGTTTTGGGCGGCGTCCAATGGCGGTCCTGACCTGGGTAGGGACAACTCCTGTCAACTTAAACTACCTAACGTATGTATGCTTTTGATTTTTTTCTGCTATAGAATTTTGAGCGCGTCATCGTGGTCGGCGCCACCCGCAGACTCCTCCGCGCGTTTACCCGTTGGTTCCCTAATGCGCCCGGTGACAGGCAACTCTGGATTATAGGTAATGACGCATGCAAGAAACCAATGAGATTCTCTCTAACAATGTATTTTCAGGAGATTCGCACACCGTTGCCGACGAGGATCTGAGAAGAGTTGCGGTCAGGTACTTCACTTACAGCGACATACTATGGGCCTTCGATAGGGCCCTTTCCGTCTACGTACCCGGCCAGGATAACGAGGAGGGCCAATACCTGAGGTCGTTGTATGATGAACCGGGAGCGGCCGACCAGGCTTTACGGCGAGGACTGACCCGGACAACGTCGTGTTCGAGGTGGGCGACTGGCGCGCAGGGCTCGGTAAATTCCAATATCCGTAAGAATAATTTGCAGTAACTTACGGGAATAACTTACTACATAAATCGTCGCAATGGCGTTCCGCTCCCTTCTCTCGGCGCTGTGCCTGGCGCTGGTGCTGGCCGTCGCGCAGGCCTGGCGCACTGCTGTGGTGCTCGTGTCGCCGGAGCTGCAGAAGACGCACTTTAAGTTCAAGGTGGTGGCCAGCGACCTGCTCTTCGGCAACCAGATCGGCCTCGTGACCACCGTGCAGGGCCGCAACAACGCCCGCCTCATCTTCGCCGGCTCACTCGACCTCTTCAGCGACAAGTACATGGACGACAAGCAGTTCGCCAACGCCGAGTTCGCCGACGCCGTGACCAAGTGGGGCTTCCAGGAGAGCGGCGTGCTGCGCATGACCAACGTCAAGCATTACCGCGAGGACGGCTCCCAGCCGGCCAAGATGCTGAGCGACGCCAACCGCGGCGACCAGCCGATCACGCTGTACCCGGACGCCGAGGTGGCTCGTGACTCGCTCGTGTACCGCGTGAAGGGCAACCTCACGTACTCGCTGGACCTGCACGAGCTCAAGGACGGCAAGTGGGTGCCCTACAAGACGGACGATGTGCAGCTGGAGTTCGTCATGCTGGCCCCTCACGTGCGCACGACGCTCACGCGGGCCGCTTTTCGATGACGTTCCAGGCCCCCGACGTGTACGGCATCTTCCTCTTCCGTGTGATGTACCGCCGCCTCGGACTGTCGACGATCTACACGACCACGCAGGTCTCGCTTCGCCCGTTCAAGCACGACGAGTACGAACGCTTCATCCCGGCTGCGTACCCGTACTACGCCTCGGCGTTCTCCATGATGGCCGGTGTGTTCCTCTTCAGTGTGTATTTCCTCTTCTTTGATGGTAAGAAGTAGGAATGTGGATGCATACGCGCGAGCCCTAGCCGAGCAAAAACTCGTTGAGTGACTAACATGACCACAAGAGCTAAGATCAACGCATGCGTTCACAAACAACAACTTCCAATGCATCAACATTTCAATTCAAAACTACTTGCAGTCTCCATGTAGGCTTATACTTGCACACCCTTACGCCAGTTGCTGCTTGAGCGGGGCTGACACCACTAGCTCCGGAGAAGCGTGGGGGGCCTGGAACCCTTGCCTCCGCGCTTCGTGGGCTGGCGAGTGAGCCCCCGCTGTCTTCTGGAGCTTCTCGGGGCTCATTCCCCGGTTGAACGCGCCACTGTGCCCGTCTGAGTCCATCTCAGTGTCCGAGTCCGTTCCGATTGCGGAGACCAGTGGGCGACGCACGCGAGGTTGACGCGGGCGTTTGGAGCCGACCATGCGGCGGCTCTTTGTCGTACTGGAATTCATGTACCTGTCCTGAAGCTTCTGCAAATCCTCCTCCGCCTCCAAGTGCTCTTCCATCGTCACACCACCGTGGCGGACGTAGATAGAGGACCCCAGCTTCTTCGGGATGCGGATCTCCGCAATGGACTCGCTGGCGAGCTTCTTGGAGATGTGCATCGGGTTGCAGCACAACCGCTCCGACAGAAAAGCGCGAAGTGTGGTGCCCTCAGCGATGTCGAGGAACCCCTTGAAGAAGCAAATCAGGGCCGCTACAAACACCTCTTCGTCGTGAGACCATGGACCGCGTCGGCGAAATAGCGCACAGGACGTGCTGGCAATGCTGGCTGTTCCCGTGCTGGACACACTTGCCACGCTGGACTTGCGCTTGCTCTTGACGCGCGTCACCACCGGAAAAGGGGCGTTCTTGTGCGCCTCCTCGCGAGCTAAGCGCAGCTCGGTGAGGCGGCTCGGAGAAGTCCTCGTCGTCCGAGCTGTCCGACGTGTGCCTTGCACCCTTGCGCTGGTACGTGATGGAGCCGACATTGTCCGGAAACTTGTGCTCGCCCATGCGCTGCGGGGCTAGCTTCATCGAGAGCTGCTTCGGCGTGCAGCCTACCAGGTAGTTGCTGGCACAGATAGGTCACAAGTCTGGTACCTTCAGGGATGTCGAGCATGCCGGCCATGAAGTATTCGAAGAGTGACGAGACCAGTTCCTCCTCTTCAGGTGTCTCGAACCCTGTACGGATGATGGTGGGCTTGCCACGCTTGGGCTTCAGTCCTTTGCGTGTCCCTTTCCTCTTGCGATCGTACGCGGACGACTTCTGGTGGTAAATGTGGTGGCTGTAGCTGTCATTGTCGTGGTCGTCCTGCCTGGAGAGCTTTCGGTCGTCCATGTCGTCTGTGTAGTGGCTGTTTAGTATGCCAGAGCTGAAGCTGGCATCTCGGAGCTTGGCTAGAACGCGGTCGACCTCCTCACGCACTTCAATGCTGGGAGGAGGTTGGGCAGCTACAAATACCGAGGCGCCAACTTTGCGTGGGACTTTCTGGCCGGCCAAAGACTCTGTGCCGAGCTTCATTGAGACGCGGAGGAACTTGCGGAGCGTCATGCCCTCGGGCAGATCCAGGAGCCCTTCCAGGAAGTAGGACACGAGGGCTGCAGCGTACTCTTCCTCGGCCCGAGACCAGATTCCGCTGCGTAGATACTGTTGCGGCTTGTCACCTGTGGGAGACGACGGGGCCTTGGGGCGGCGACGCTTGATCATGGCGTCCGCCTGGACCAGCAGGTCCAGCTTGGACAGGAGATCGTCCCCCCCCCCCGCCGCCGCCGCAGCGTCGGTAGAAGAGGAAGAGGACTGCTGTGGTTGCTGTTGTTGTTGCTAAGCTTTGGCCAGGTTGTTCTCCTTTCCATCATCGCGGCCAGCTGCCGCTTGCGTCATGTCGTCCGAACGAGGGAATCGCAGTATGTCGAGCCGCGAGACCCCGCTTCGCTTCACTAAGTGAATATTGTGGACAGGTTTCGGCATCAACTCAGGAAACCCGTGATCGACGCCAAGTTGCGGACGTTGCTACAGTAGTAAGGCCATTCCTCCCTATCGCCTTGTCCTCACTACTTGTGCTGTTTGTGCTGGTTGGTATTATAGTTACTTGAAGCGGAAGGCGCCGCATGCAAGCGAGACACCTCCACAGTCCACTACTAAGGCGCGCAAGGGCTGCCCACTCTGCACCGCCTACTCGAGGCTCATCGAATTGCTCCACGAAGACGTCACCTGTGGACGACGCGAGTCCTTTGCAGACGCAGCTGCTGCCAGGTTCGAGCTCGCTCAACACTTCGCGACGCCTGTGTACAAGCTGCCAGCTTCGATCGTGGCTGGGACATAGTGCGCGTAGCGCTAGCAACAGCTCTGCGCATGCGATTGCTAGATGAGGACGGTTGGCAGCCGACAGGAGGGAGACATGGAGGCCTTCCGAGGGTTTCCGCCGGTACGGTTCGTCTCGGTGGGCGTGTCAGGGCGTAACTAGAGCAGCGCAACCCGGAGTTGCCGCCTCCGAGCCCGGCTTGCTATCGCCAGGGCTGGGCGATATCAGTATATATAGACATTTTCTCGCAAAATTTGTCCAGTTGGGTGATGTCTCTTTTCGATGGATATAGTGAAGCCAAGTAAAGGTTTATGAGCGGGCGGATACGACGGGACAGATTAAACGGTTTCGGTGGTAGTCTTTTGGAACGCGCCGAGCGAGCATGATAAAACCTCCTAACCCTAGTATTAAACGGTGATTAGAACAAACGCTGATTAAACTTTTTATGATAGTTGTGGAAGGCACTCCACTGTTCCCCGTATAGTATACGGGGAACAGTGGACTAGTCAATCGCCCTGATTCAATCGGGACGATTGATCTCGTACTTAATATGATAGTATGGGAGTTTGTATGGCCTCGGGGGCGAGTGGTTCAATCAATCGCCCGAGGAAATTTTGCCGAGCCCACAATACTCCAAAACCCGCATATTTGAGTTTCAAATCCACAAAACCCGCATACTTCCACAAAACCCGCATACCGTATTTGAGACCTCCTGCTTCAGACGCCGGATTATTGAAGTTGTAGCGTTGTACAATGTTTTTGTTCATTTTCAGTTCCTTTTGTGCCATATTTTTCACATATGTGCCATATTTTGCACATAAGGCGGTACAAGTTGATACAGAATCCGTACACTTTGCACGAGAAAGAACAAAATTGGCGCATTTTCACAGACCGATTGCCTGCTAGCTCCTTCAGTTCCGTAGTGCCAAATGCGTTAAGACTCTCGAAAGAAAACTTCAGGTCGCACCAAGGACGCTGTGTTGTTTCCTCAGGCAGATGGCTCCTAATTCGGCTAGAAAGTAGAGTTATCTGCTCCGAGATGCCGACCTGCGATTTGTTTTGCGTTTAAGTACGAAAATACCGCTCGTATGTACGAAAATGAAGCACGTGTTTCGCTCCTTTTTCGGCATAGCGGAGTCAATTTTTATGCGTTTTGAGTGATTAAAAGACGGGAGCCAATAGCTGCTCATTTCGGGTAAAATGCAGCAATCCGCGGTCCAATCGCGTGTCTGGAAGAAAAGTTATGGACTCTCGAAAAAGTCGTTGCAATCTTTTACGCCCGGAGGAAGTATGCGGGTTTTGGAGTTTCCTCACAATACGCGACCTTTGGTGCGCATTGCCAGTCAAGTCCTGCGGCTCGAGGCTCACCATGGGCGCCGCCACATCGACGGAGCTGGTGGACTGCGTGGAGGACGGCGACATCTAGCAGCTGAAGTTGCTGCTGCACGACCACGAGGCGGACGCCAAGAACAAGGACGCGGAGCTGCAGGTCGAGGAGGCGGTGCACATGTTCGTGGCCTCGGAGCTCGAGTCCGGCCAGCACCTGCAGCAGCTGCAGATCGCACTCGAGCTGCTGCTGCACGTGCGTCCGGAGGCCTGGAGCTCCACAGCCTCCAGCCAAGTTTACAGCGCGGATGAGGGGGAGGAAGATGCCGTTACCAGCGCCACGAGCAACTCGGCAGGCTGGTCGGCCTGCCATCGCGCTTGTGCAACGGGCAATCTGGCCTTGGTGGCCTTTGTACTGCAGCATTATCGGGCGCAGTTTGAACTGCCGACTCGTGACACTTTTGGGTTGTTTCCAGTTGACTTGGTGCCGTCGGAGCTGTTGATGAGCGCAGTGGAGATCCAGGACAATCTCCGAGAGAGCGGGACGAGATGAAGCCATCGACGGCTCGCGCGCGCTGGTGCCTCGCTCTTCAGCATCTGCGCGAACGGAAGGCAGTGCTGCAAGACCAACAAGTTCGCAGTCTGCTTGGTGACTCGAACGTGGGGTTAAGAGTAACCAAGAAGACGGAGATCGCGCCCGAGAATTCTTTGTGGCGTTTGAACCGACACGTGAGCGGTTATCGCTTGATCTAGGATGCAACATGGGGCACGTCCACGAAGATGAAGCGCATCTGCACACCATGCAGGGCGCGGACGGCGACCGCGGGTTGGTCTACCGCGCGGCTGAGCTCATCTACAGCTGGGTGGCGCAGCAGCAGCACATCTACGAGTTCCAAGTGTCTGTGCAGATCGTGGGGGTGTACAACGAGGAGATCAACGACCTGCTGGCGTCGCCTGCTACCACCGGGAACAACGGTACTGTTAGTCACAGCAGTAATACAGCTCCGGGGGAGCGTCTGCGGGCAGCGGAGACCGGGGCTCGCCCTCCAGTTTGGGCAAAATGGGCTGCCACGTCGGCGCCACGAGCCTCCACAGTCGTCGACGAGGAGCTCGAGGGCTGGTTGCAACACATGACCGAAAATGAACAAAAACATTGTCATGTTCTGCTCGTTTTGCACCTGTTCTACGCTATGAATTAGGAGATCTGTCTGAAGTAGGAGATCTCACAATTTGCCGGTACCGTATTAAATACGGTACCGGCGTCTGATTCCAGTGGCACTGCACACTGAATGAAAGTTAGCACTAAGCGAGCGAAGCGAGCCGATTCCCGCACGAAAGCGCGGTAGGGTTCAAGCATTACCAGCAAGGGTTTTTGAGTTCGCGCGGAGCGCGTGCAGGGTGATAGTTTTATTGTTGTATCGATTGCTTTCGCTGCCGAAGGCAGCGCTGTATGCACCCTGCCTGCGGTTTACGAGCCGTGCGCGCAGCGTGCGGTCGTAAACCCAGGACAAGCCATGTCGAATTCTCGCGACCACTGGCAAAGGCAGCGCTCGACCTAATGCAAAGACAGCGTTCGAGTGCGCCGCTTATCCCTAGGAATCAGATGCCGGTATGCGGGTTTGGTGGAAGTATGCGGGTTTTGTGGATTTGAAACTCAAATACTTCCTCCGGGTTTGAAAAAGTGCAAGATCTACAAAGAAAGTTTAAATTTTACAAGAAATAGGCCATATTCACACGCCGGTACAGCTCCTCCATTCTAGAGTCGATTTTCGCCAAACTGTCAATCCTCAAGCGTATGAATCGCGTCTGCCCTCAAATGAAAGCCCACGGTGTAGCAAGTGCTGCTGTAAATTGTCTATACTAGGTGAGTTCGGCTTCAAAAGTCACAGCGGATTGTGTCAGCACCAGGATCTCCACCTGGGATTTGCGGAGACTCGAAACCACGATTAAGTACGAAAATGAGGCTTTGCGTTTACTCCTTTTTGATCATAACGCAGTCGTTTCTCACGTTTTTTGAGTGATTAAAGGACGAGAGCCAATCCCAGACCGTTCCGCATCGAATGCAACAATCCGCGGTCCAATCGCATGTCTAGAAAAAAAAGTTACAGCGGTGAGAAAAAATATCTTGCACTCTTTTCCAACCGGAGGAAGTATTGTGCTTTTCAGTTGTTTTGGCGAATCGGACGTGTAAAACAGCTGCCTACTAAGATGGGGCTAGGTTATCGGAGCAGATTAGCAGTCCCTCGTAGGGAATTAGGACCAAGAATTGCTAGTCCGATGGAAGCACTTGCGCAGGTCCTACAAACAGCCGAAAGCCCGAATTTCGCCCATTTTCACGGCATTCGGGGTTTGAGGTCTTACGAAGGACTCCTGCCAAGTCTTGTGGCAGGACTTTCATACGAGCTGACTCTAATACGGCGTATGTCAAACGCAGAATAAACTTAGGGAAACACGATGCAGTCGCTACGTTAAACACTCCAGTCTTCGCCCTTCGCCTTCGCGGGTTCCGGCACTGCTTGGCTCCCTAAACAAAGCTTGCTTGGCTTGGACTCCAACCGGAGTCCATTGAGCGGAGAGACTCCGGGAGACCGCTCATCGGACTCGTCCGAGATTTGCATCTCAGATTTAGAGACCGCCAACCTCATATTAACTGACCTACAAAGTCCTACGTAGGACTCGGCAAAATGACCGAAAGGCACAATACTTACTAAGTACTTCCTCCTGGTTCGAATGATTGTTAAGGTAAAAGGATCCGGCACGGAGAGAACGTGGAGGCGGTGGCCGCGCCCAGCGCCAAGGAGCTGCACGACGCCATCGCGCGCAGCAAGGCCAGCAGGTCCAAGAACAAGAACGACCGCAGCACTCGCGCCCACACCGTCGTGATGATCGACATCTGGCGCACCAGCAAGACGAACGGCGAGGAAGATGCAGGAAGGCTGGCGCTCGTGGACTTGGCGGGCTCGGAAAGGCTGTCCAAGACCGCGGACACGCCCGCCATCACCGTCCGTGAATCGCAGCACACCAACAAGTCGCTGGCAGCCGTTGGAGACGTCCTGGCGGCGCTGCTGGCGAAGGAAAAGCACATTCCGTCCCGCAACACCAAGCTCACCCACTTGCTGCAGGACTCGCTGAGTGGCAGCACCAATCGCACTCTGCTCATTGCCCACGTGAGCCCGAGAAGCGCCGACGTCATCAATTCTCTCAAGTTCACGTCGCGCGTAAGCCACATCCAGATGGGCAAGTCGCAACGCACAGAGCGTGCCGAGATCACTCGCCTGATCGGAGTGGTGGGGCTTGATTGGTATTAACTGACGGTACGAAGCTGACTTATTCAGTGTTTTTCCCTGCAGGTTGCCAACCAAGTCTCACAGATCCAGGCGCTCCAAGAGAAGCTGACAGCAGAGCTAGAGCTACGCAAGAAGTATGAGAAGCGGCTGGAAGAGTACCGCCAGGAGGAACACCGCCGCAGGTCGAAGGACTATGAGAGAAGAGCTCTGCAGCAGATGAGGACTCCGTCACCAGAACTGCCACCTGCCACCCACAATCCCATCGCGCAGGTGGAGCTTGTATACACGAAAGTACGCAGATCGGCGTGTCGTGGCGCTCGACGCTTGCCACTCAGTTGGAGCAAATACTAACTCGTTCTGTATTATTCATGACAGGGAGAAGCTTGCCAATGCGCAGGGGCTGAATGGTATCGAAAACGTTGCTGAAAACATTCTCCGAGGCAACGAGTCTTCGCCCGAAACTGCAGAGATTAGGACGACGAGCGGTGGCAAACCGAGCGGCATCTTTCCTCCTACGAACTTCTCGCGGAGACTCAATTTGTCTGCTCTGGATAAAAGAGCAGACCGAGCTGCGCACACAGGGAAGAGGAAGAGATCAGCAGCGTCCTAGAAAGTTCGCAGCGTCCAAGCAAGTCTCATTCGACTTGTCGCTCGCAACTATCGGCACACCGGCTCTGCCTTCTCGCGAACTCACCGCTACACCCAGCGCTCCTCGAGTGTAAGTGCTGCATATTTCACCACTACCAGCCTTGATCAAGAGCTCACTCGTTTTGTTAGCTGTGCAGCCCTGTAGGTGGAGCGATGCGGGTTCTTGCCGCGACCCGGACGGCCACGCCGGCGAGGAGGGTTGCATCGGCTTCTGGCAAGCGCGTTAAGCCTAAATGGAACGGATGGCGGTGAAGTGCGATAGCTTTTTGACGACCAAGCACTCAAGACAGACCAAGAACCACACGCGAATCAGTGAAGAAACCCCACAGTAACGTTACGTATAATATGACCAACACAACAGTAAGCTGGCCTCTCCATCCATAAGTTTTCGTCGGAATGCCGTGTGTCGAGCGCGCGTTCGGTCTGTGATCGCTCTAGAATCGGACGTGACACCACCTTCAACGTCGTTCCGTTGCTCGGCTTCGGCTGGGGCCTCATGCTGTTCGATCGCCGCATCTTCAAGCGCTGCTCGCTGCGCAGCTTCGTCCGCAGCATCGACTTCATTGCGTGCGCGTTGGAACATCTGAAGACAAGCACAACCTTCGTCAGCTTTCCTTCACGAGCAATAAATAGGATAGGACTCAGGGACAACGCACCGTGCAGTGTACGTGGTTATTGTGGTATTTGGTGCTGATGGTTGCTTTTGCAGGTGATGGATGGCCGCAAGTTCACGGCGGTCCCGATCTTGGTCGGCAACACCAAGAGCAAAATGCACTAAACGAAACCAGCGTTGTGAAGAACTCTGTCGGGTTTCGCTTCGGGTCTTCTCCAAAGTAGTCGAGCACGCTTGATACCTCTTCTTGTGCCCGGTCGATCCCTTCTTTGAGGGCCTCCATCTGTGCTTCGATGTCGGAGGCGGCAGTCTGCATCGACTTGATCGTGACTTCCAGCCCCAGGCTTTCGACCGCTTGCTGCTTGACACAGTAAATTAATTGGCGTGTAAGTCGAACAACGCAAGCAAGACCGAATAGACATACCTTTTCCAGAAGTACCAGCTCGTTATTGAGACTTGTGAGCCCCTTCTCCAGCTTCTTGTACTCTTCATCGAAGGTGTCGAAGGATTCGCGCGCTGCCAGAGGGACACTTCACAGTTCGGCCTGGAAGTCGAGCACCTGGATGATTTTTCTTCACAAGCCGGACGAGGTAGTGCAGCACCGTCGTCTTCTGGTTCACCGCCTTTGTGTGTCCCAATCGCAGCAACGAGTCCACCGTGAATCCCTTGATCCCGTTGTCTTCGCCCCTGCCGTTCAGGGTATTGCCCAGCTTGAGGACCATAGCCAGCTAAGTCTTGTGCAACCGACTGCCCTTGACCTCCTCGCCTGCTTTTAGCAGATGGGACAGCGAGGCCGATAGCTCCGCACTACGCATCGTGAAGGACAGTTTGTATACCAGACTTGATTCGCCCCAGGCTGAAAGTTCATCCTTGAACTTTCAGCCTGGCGCGAATCAAGACAACGAAATGTAAGCCAGCAGTCTAGAAATTCGAGCACACAATACAATCACTCCTAGCATCTCCTAATCACCAGTATACCCGGACACCAAAGCTGCTTCCTCAGACGTGGGCAGGAACTCAATTATCCCCACAAGCTGCTCAAGCGTCAGACCGTTCGGGTCAAACTTGATCACAGCTTGGGCAATCTCAGTGTAAGAAAGTTTGACCCGCGCCAACGAAATCGCAGCGTTCATTGCACGTTTCCCGTCGATAAGAGTCACGGACCGTTTCCGCTTCAGAGCCTTACTCTGACCACGGGACGAGTTCTTCTTGCCATAACCCGGGTTTTGGTTCGCGAAGAAAAGCGCCTCCAGCTCGTCCATATCCATATCAAAGTCAACGTCGTCATCTTCGTCTTCCCGAATTGTCTGCTGGGTGAGATTGCTCAGCCGGTCCTCCGAAATGGGCTGCCAGTGCAGCTTCTTGCGTGGACGCTTTGGCTTCACGACTGCAGCTCTTGCCCGCCAGAAGACAATTGCGAAACAGTGGCGTCCGGTCCGAGGTCCAGAGCACGCACATCAGCATTCTCCTTCACCATTTTCTGCTTGACTGCGCCCTCAGGAAGCCCCATTTTCAGCATCTTAAAGTACTTGGAGTACACAGGATCATCTTGAAGCTTGACATCGTTATTCGAAGAGATTAACTCTGACACAAACGCATCTCCACCCAAATCAAGAGCACGCTCATCTACACCTTCAGTCTTCATCTTCTGGCGAACCGCTCCTTCCGGCAGCCCCGTCTTGAGCATCTTAAAGTACTTGGCGTACGTTGGATTGTCCTGGGGTTTGACACCGTTTCCACCAGATGCCCCTGCCAGCTGCGACACCATTGCACCACCACCAAGCTCCAAAGCCCGGTCATCCATGCCATCAGCCTTCATCTTTTGCCTCACAGTACCCTCGGGTAGCCCCATCTTCAACATCTTGAAGTACTTCGCGTAAACTTCATGATCTTTCAGTAGAACTTCCGACGCTGCATCTTTCTCGCTGTTACTGGTCGACGAGTTCACACATTTAATGTCGTCCTGAAGCTTCGACACACTCTGCGTAGCGGCAATGCGGTCCTTCACCTCGTCGTAGACGGCCTCCGGCCCCAAGTCAGGATTATTGGATCGATCCCGTCCATCATTAACTTTTTTCACTGCCTCCTTCGGGCATCCCATCCGCAGCATTCGGAAATAGCTGCTGTACTCTTCCATATCCTTCAGCATTTTTTTCTGAGCATCAGCCACTTCGCCCGCATCACCATCGTCCGCCGGGGCTTTATCGACTGGAGGGAGGGGCTTCAAGGTTGAGGGATCAACACCGTCCTTCCTCATGCAATTCTGAACAGCTTCAAATGGCACACCGCGCTTCAACATCAGCGTGTACTTGCTCTCTCCACTACTTGCAGCGGACGTCTCGGTAGATTTTCTCGCAGTTTTGAGCTCACTGAGCAACGCAGATTTCGTATCCAATTTAGGCGGTGCAGGTGTAGTAGAGGTTGCAGCTCCGAGAGTGTTCGCTAAAGACATTGCGACCGCGGCGCTCGTGGTACCTGTACTGGTAGCAGCTTTCATGATGTCCTCAATCGATAATCCATTTGTTGCCAAAAACTCCTGGTTGGAAATTATTAACTGGTCAGATTTAAATTTTTAACTAGTTACTTTTTGAGCTGCATTCAGGCTAGTCGCTTTTGCAGTGTTTTCTGGTTACTTGTCACCAGCCGAGAATGCATAAGTGACAAGCGATAATGTAAATAAGGGAAGAAATTACATTTTCAACTAGTTACTTTTACATTGTTCTCTCACTGCGCAGTCTCTGGGCCTGGGTTTACACTCGCGTGCTCCGCACACGGACCGTAAACCATAGGAGGTGTTCCTCATTGGATTTGGCCTGGGTTTAGGACCCGTGTGCGAAGCACGCGGGCTTAAACCACAGGAATAGCGTTCTACACCAGCATTGGCCTGGGTGTACGCCCGCGCGCTACGCACGCGGCTCATAAACCGCAGGTGGCGTTCCTGCTTGGTATATTCCTCCTTAACATTTATTCTACACCCTGATCCCTACACCCCTTACCCTCAGTGCACAAAACCCTAGACCCCCCTCTACCTCCCCTGTAGGGGGAGCACCTCGCTGCGCTCGGTAGTCGACATGACCCGCCGTTGGCACTGTCCGTGCTTGATGGTGTCGTTTGCAAATGTGCGGGTACGCTGGGTGTAACCGTCATGCGCCATAAAACGGGCAGAGTAACCAATCAAAACTGTAAAATTAACAAGTTTATATTGCACTTTTGCAAGTGACTAGTTAAAAATGTATAAAAGACTAGTTGATAATGATGGGTTGTCTACCCTTCCGCAGAGTGAGTCCGGGACCGGGTCTCTTGTCGATAAGTATCCAGTTGATGACCCCAGGCAAATAACAGTCATTGCCCCTTTTTAGCCAATAATAGGTCAGTAGCACGCGCAGTCCTTTCACAGCTCATTGCCTCAAAAGTCTCCCTCGTCGCTCAAGAAACAACATGCGCTGCCACAGAGGCTTCTGGGCCTACGCAGGCGACAAAGGCACCGACATCTCGGACAGCGCTGCACGCTTCGCGCAAGAACAAGCCTCTCAAGCGGAGCCAGGTGCCAACAAGACGACAGAGAATTGGCTGCGAACGCGGGCTGGAAGGGCTCTGAAGAAGCGCTGGGAGGGGGAGACAGCGGAGTTTCGGCAGGACTACATATAGAAGAACCCTGACGCTACCTTTTCGCTGGACGACAACCCGCTGGGCTTCGCGGATGGCCGGCAGTGTAACGGGGTTACACGCACAAGTGGCTACAGTCACTTGTTACTCTAACAGATGCGATGTCTGTTAGAGGTTTAAACACTTCCTCGACCTTGGTGTAAGGTACACCAATGGCTACATACATTTTCGACCACCACGACGGGTAGTCCATACACATTTAGGATTCCTATTGGCTGAAAGCAGCATCTTTTAGCCAATGAGTGACTTGCATGTTAGCAGAATCCTGCCAACCAGCCGTTGGCAGATTCCTAGTTTAGAATATTACATTTAGAGGAAGTCAGAAACATAAAACAAAAATAGCAGTTCTCATCTTTTACCAAAACCCGCTACTTGGAGTATTTATCTTGTTTAAAGTATACTCGTGGATCTCGAGTATACTTAACTCAAGTAAAAGAAACCTACGCTTCCTCATACACGTGCGCATACGTGTAAGCCGTAGTAGTGAGCCAAGGTAGGCCCATTACAGGCAGGATCGCCGGCGCTATCCTCGAATGGTGCGAGCCGACATCGCTACGCCTGTGGTACCGCAGGAAGAGGCTCCGGTAGCACCAGCTACGACACGCACACCCGTCGACACTCAGTGTCGAGAACAAGTTGATGAATTTAAGAGCTACGAGGACGAGCTGCTGCGGGCTGGGTTCGTGGCCGAAGTGACAGCGCTTGCGCACGCAGTCCGAGCGAACGACGTTAGCCGAGTTGTGTCACGTTCGGTGGCAGTAGTAGAATGTATGGGCGCCCAAATTGCAGCAAGTTTATCCCCCGATTCAAGAGCTCGTGTTGTGGGAGTCATCCGTGACGTGACAGCGTATATGCAAGCTGCATGAGCACAGCTGACTATGCACTCTGATGAAGAGGCGGATGGCGCGCTTCATGAAACGCAGACTAGCGCAGCTGCCGCTAACTCAGCACTGAGCAACTACGTGCGTGATACCATTCAAGTTAACCCAAACTTCAAGGCCATGCACGAGGGCAGGGAAAACTACACGGCCAGCACCACCAATAACTTGCAGGAGTTATATTGGCTAGGAAAAGTACCCTCGGTGCGAACTTTGCAAGCTAGTCCAGGCTCGCCTGCTGTGTCAAGTGATGCATCGGCTACATCAACTACGGTGTGTCAGGCAGGGGCGTCTGTCGAGAGACTCAATGGATCGGTTGCTGAGGGCGCGGCTAATAGCAGCAACGATGCTCAGATATCACCCTCGGCTCAAGCAAAACCTACCACTATTACCTCTCGCAAACGCCCCCGGTTGCTCGAAGGAAAGCAGCGATCCGCCACGACAAATTCAAGGCCACACGCAACCAGCGGAAAAGAGCAACCGGCTGGTAATGCGGCAGATGATGAAGATAGCGTGTATGAGCCAAGCAATTCGGAGGAAAGTGACGTGAATGATGACGAAGTGGACCCCCCGAATCGGTTTTTCAGAAAGCGCGTGTCAAAAAATGATCCTCTGATAGTGTGGACCGATCTCGAAGATGACGATCACCCCCGAACAGTGCACGTTTACCCTGTGGATTTGGATAGCTTACAGACTGGTGCTTGTTGACCCAAACTGCGCTGGATTATTTTATCTGTCGCTATACGGAGCGAGTTACAGGATTAATTCGCGTATGTGACTCGGAGTTGTACGTATTGATGGAGACTGCACGATTCACGCGAAAGCCGAAACGAAGACGCCGACTGTTGGCTGACCTAGTCGCATTGTTTGACTGGTCGGCCTACCAGTATATGCTTCTCCCAGTATCGGGTCGCAACCACTACAGCTTTTTGGTAATTGAGAACCCCATGCACCCGGGGCCAACAAAAGTTTATCACGCCAACTCGATGAAAAATGCTCACAGCTCGGCGTATGCTTTTGACGTTCTGCAATGGGTCCTATCAGAGACCCATAAATCCCAAGCAGAATCTTCGGCTCCGTTTGAGTGGAGCACCTTTGTCCATTTGACCAAGCCCCAGCAATCAAATTGCATCGACTGTGGAGTTTACGTGCTCCATTACATGGATGTGATTTCAAAACACATTGCAGCCGAGAAGCCTGGATCGATCGAGGAGAAGATCGCCGCGTGGACAGGGGGTGATTTCGGCGTCAAGAAGGTGTGACGCGGTGTCGATCCCTAAATTCGGGTGAATGCGCCTGAACCTGGGAAGTCCCAATGATGTGGAGCTTGGTGATACTGGATGATTTGGAGTCTCCTATAAAAACAAGGGTAATGTCTGCGAATGGACGCTGAATCCCGGAAGATAGATCAATGTGGGCGAGTTGATCCCGTTCCATGAAGTGCAACGGAATGCGAGCGATCCTCCCCAGTATATCTAAGTACGGCGGAACTCGACTCTGGCTTACAACCTGGGAGCTGAGGCACTTCTCAGATTCCCCGTTGTTTTCCCGGAATAACGATTCCCAGACTTCGCGTTCCCAGACTTACCTCCCACAAAAATCCAAGAACGACCTCGGCTTGAGGCGTTCCGAGGCTCCAAACCCAAGAACAATTGATTTCACTATGGCATCTTCCAAGATCCTAGGTGTATCCAACAACTCCGAGAAGGTATCCAGTTTGGCGACCCTTCAAGGCCAGACCAACACTCCGCAGAAAGATCGCAGTCTCCGAAGGGTCGCTTAGGAAAGATTTCGTCTGCATGTGACCGTTAACCAAACAGAGTTCGTTTTGCTTCAAAGGGCACAAGTGCTTCTTTCACAGCCTGGAAGGCCGTTCTCCACGACAAAATTCGAAGTACTTTACGTAAGTGATCCACTGCTTCGGCCTGGAAGTGATCATATCTATTCCATATCTGTATATTTGGCGGATTGCAGACCGTCTTTGTTGTATATTTGCGGTCTATTGGGCCTGCGTCGAACTGAAGAAGTTAGCGACAGGGTAGATCGTTTCCTCTCTCCGAGAGGTGGTGCGCGTCCCCAAGATTGATCAAGTGTCTTGGATTTGGACCAGTTGACTTGTATTTTGGCCTTAGCCTTGGGCCTAGAGAAAGAAGAGAGGGCAAAGAAGTATTTGTGTGATTGTATAACGTGTATAACTCTATTTGGGTTGGATTGTTCTAGCGTTAGCCCGGCGTAGTAGCTGTCTGATTCACGCGGTCGATACTAACCTCCTGGTGAAAAGAATCGCTACCCAAGGGATACACATCGTGCGCCTGACCAACAGCGTGTACTGGACAACACACACCCTGTGCCAACCGAGACGGATCCAAAGCTCTAGTAGCCTGAGGTCTGTCAAGGAGGGCCTATAACTGCTTTCTGGGAGAAAACACCGCATCGCCTCGTCACAAAGGCAGCAGCATACCGAGCTAAGTTGTATAGGACTATATTTCCAGCGTGATTAATTGTAGCACCCGGTGAGTAGAAACACAGTCAACTTCTTTTTAACACGGTTCCGGTTATTGACGTTATGGCTCAATGCAGCAAGTATCGGAATATGTAGTACCACAAAATATCACTGCGGTACCTACCGAAAAACGTGACTGCAGTACCTACCGCAATACATCACTGCGGTACCGCACTGTAATACTGCTGTACCGCATGCATTGCGGTACCGCGTAGGATCACTGCGGTTCAAACAATATCCACGGGCTAATAGAAAGGAGGTGCGTTCGTCATGTTTTTCTGTGGTCGATACTCGACGGCTTGGCGATATTGTCAAGTGCGACTTGTAGTACTTCATCCTGTATGTATTCAACTAGATTTAGCGTTGCTTCACTGTTCAAACTGTGATTCCTCGCGCGTCATCCGT